TTGCGTCGTCAACTGGATACTTGAGGTGTTTCGTATCGTTTGCCGGCAGTTCATAAATATTTTATCACATGACTTAAATAGATTGGAATGCCGCATTTCGCTGGATACTTCAACGTCGATACTAAAGCGGCACATTGGGCGGCTATTGCCCATTGCATGACAGTATCATTCAATGTGCCCGGAATTGGTAATAATAGTCAACTTAGGCACTTAATAGTATAAAAATAAATATATATATAGATATCAGCTAATTGAATGCCTAATCATGTTGTCCGCGGCCGGGCCAATTTGGAGACTCTAAGCCAGCCAAATGGCAAATAATAAAAAAAAGACACTCTTATCGTCTTTTTTAGTGTTGCTCCAAATTCTGGCTTGGCCAGAAGCGTGCCAGCTGCTTGAATATGCGTTAGCCATTCATAAGCCTCCCAATTGACGTACCAATTGCGACGACATGTTGTCATCGACATTCATGTTAGACAATTTACTGAACTACGCTTACTCGGGTAATTCGCTTTGCTCTTTATATATCCATGACATTTGCTCATCAAATGCTGTACTAAATGATACGATTTTCTTTGTTAGACTTAATTGACATGTAATACTGTTGAATACTGAAGCCTAGAAATGTTTATTGTAATTATTTGAAATAATTTAATTTGAATTATATTTATTTTAATATTGTATGAATTTTGGTTACGCAATTCAGGCTATAATGTTTATTGTTAAAGAGTGTGTAATAGATCAAAAGAGGATTATGTATTCCTGTTGAGACTGAACAGCTAATTTTCTCTGAGCTATAGCTGCTCGTCAGTTTAGGTCTACTTATGTCGGAACACATTGAAATGGGCAAGTATTTAATTTTGATTATTTTCCAATTGATAACGATATTGAACTGCAGCTTTTTTAAAGAGCTTGACTCATCCCAAGGTGTGCAGCGATAACCGTTTTTGGATAGCATTTTCTCAAGGTTTGTTTGAAATCGGGTATTTGCTAGTCGGTCATTTGGAACTAAATCATTTAGTTTTTGCTTTGATATTATGAAATGTATTTATGCATAAATATATATATTATATATACATATATATAATAAAAGTTTCAAAAATATGTGCATTATTTTATACTATTATTTATATTATTATTATCATATTATCTTTAAAAATATTTATTAAATATTAAAATTTATTTCAATTGAATTTAATATTTTTACCATACAAAAAAATTCTAAAGTGTTAACAATAGCAGGGTATTCTTTAGTCGAGCTATTTATATAAATATTTCAATAACTATTTGAATGCAAGGCGTGTCATTTATCTGTTAGCAATCACAGTGAACAAGTTCAAATTCCGGAAGGTATTAATTTATTACTCATTTGTTGTGCAATTACAGTTATTTTCGGATATCACCCCGATAAGTTAAGATAAGATTAAGTTGTTCTTGGTATCATCATTTTCGCTCTTTGGCTTTTTGGTGTCCTCCCATCCTAGCCGAGCAGCATACAAAGAGTGTGTTTGTGCTGCGTCCACTCTCTTTGTCATTGGTCAACAAAATGTTGTTGTTTATTTTACTTTTGCTGTGGCCAGTCTCCGGTTTCTTTGATTCTTTTGTTTGTTTGAGTTTGCCCAAAAGCGATTTTCATAATGTGGCATTACTCGGACAGAAATCGGTCATAAAACTTAAGTTTAACGTCATGCAAATGGCGACACTGGGAATTAGCAGTGCCGACGTCTGATGGCTTTATTTCCATCTCGGCTTGATATACTCTGCGACGGTTATGGATATGAGGCGTTGTAGATAGATGTGTGGAGCGGGCCCCAATCTTTCTCTGACTTGCAACTTGTTTTTAATTAGCTTCCCTAATGTGTCGGCTTATTATGCTTCGGTTTCTTTGGCACTTTTGTTTATTATCATCTGCTCTGCGCCACATGGGCGTCAGATTCGATTTTAACGTTGTTTACGATAGATATCTGGCCAGTTAATTTGCAATTCCTTTTAACGACAGAGTTCAAATGCGAAGTGAGCCTTTCAGAATACCATCAAAAAATTCCAGATCTCTAAATAGATTTTGCAGCGGCTGTGCAAATATTATAGAAAATAATTAAAATGCAAATTCCTGCATGGAATTTATGTGAAAAACAGAAGCGTCCGAACGATGCCAAGCGAATTGGCAGACCCAGATAGTAGCATATCAACATATCATATCGAATCGTCCCAGTTTGACGCACAAATTGCGTTTGTTTCTCTGATCTAAGTGCACATATAGTCATCAAATTGTCCGAGTTCAAAATTTCGCAATGTTTTTGGCAAAGAATTGGAAAGAATTCATTGAGCTCTTCTACGCACATACATACATATTTTTGCGCACAATTTATCTATTGTATTTTGATTTGTTTGTAGCCTTGAACTTTAATTGGGTGCAATTAAGTACGTTTGTAAGTTTGTCTGTGTGTACTGTATCAATTTCGTTTGATAATAAACACAAACAACTAAACAAGCAAGCAAACAAGCAAACAAACATTCGAAATTAACTGCGCACAAGAAAGCTCACGCCTTTGCCCCTTGCTGCGGCCAAAGGTCTTGGCAAACAATTTAAGGAATTTTACCAAAATTCCATTGCCATGTATTACATATCGCAGGTTTGGATCTGGCGGGCAATACGTGTTACTAATGGTAAATACACAAATGCAAACATACACACACCTAGAAAGTGTCTTCATTATTTTTTTGCATCTTCTCTGAAATTGCTATATAAAGTCATTATTATTGTGCAGTTGGGAGAGTCAACAGAACTGTCTCTGTTAACAAAAGCAAACGGAATTAGCGCGCTCTCACTCTCTCCTTTCGCTTGCTAACGGTGAGGGGTCAACCAGAGTAAAAGGAGAGTTTTGCTTCTGTTAGCGTAACAGTGCTGTGTTAATAGCCCGCGTACTCTCTCACTCACTCGCTCTCACTCTCTCTGTCAAGCAGCCACCTACACTTGTCAGCATTGTTAAGCTAACAGTCACGTAACAGCAGCAGCCACAGCACTAACAACTGCAAAGAGGCCTCGACAACAGTGGCGGCTTTGGTTTGAAGGTGCCCAATAACTTTTATTGAATTCAGTCATTGGCTGGCCGCGATCGGTTGAGGAACGTGTTTGAATTTCGAATTGAATATTATTTCGGCAATAGAACTTATTGGCTATAGTGCAAAATTTTTAAACAATAAATAATCATTCATAAATTGTGCAAGTTACAAAAAAAGTTAGTATCTTATATAATATAAAAAACACAAGTGCAGCAAAAAATTTGTAAAGTTTCAATAGAATATGTGTAAATATATTTGAGAATAAATCATTTTAGCAATCAGCTAAAATATTTAGCCATTAAATTGAAAGTTTGCCGTGTAATTGTGAAATTTGTATATATGTGAAAGGCTTTTTAACAATTTATTTCTCCTTCAAACTATCAAATATTTGCCATTAAAATCTTGCTTTGTTTTAATTTGAGTATATAAAAAAAACAAAGCTTCGTTATCTAAATTATTGATAAACATTTTTTCTCGCAATTAGCTGCATGATTAAAATTTGTTTGCCTTATACCAATTAACACATTCCAGAGCTGCGTCTAATTGAAATTTGCTAATTAATTAGCGAATCAAACTTTCAAATAAATTTACACCTAATTATAAACGGGTTTCGATTCGAAAAGAAGAATTAAGAATGCTTGAGCAGACTGCAGGACTCGAATATTGCTAATAAATAATAGATTCGATAATTGACTACATTTTGTGGCACTCAATAAAATTGGAAAAAGAAAAAAAAATAAAGAAATAAAAATATTAATTTAGTCAGAGCAAAAAACTCACGAAACTGGAAAAATCTATTTGCAATTTGCATTTAAATAAATAATAAACCTTTTTTATTATTACCATTTTTTATTTTTCGCTTTTTGATTTTTTAATCGCTGGTTCTGAAACAAGTTTAATGCTCTGTCATAACTCTCCGTGTCCCGTGTCCGGAACCCAACAAAAAGGGGCGCTTTGTGCCTTCTTTTTTTTTTTATAACTATTTCTATTTTTTTGCTGTCTTTGCGTAAATTTGGATTCGGTGTTGCGCCAAAGAAAAGAAAAAAAATTAATAAAAAACTTTCGGGTTTAAAATGAGTTTTTAAAGCTGACGTCATCAGAATATTTTCAAAAAGTTTACTGTTATGTGATTGCTGGCGTTTCGGACGGCGTTTATGTTGCCAATTGTGGCTAGCCACAAATTTTATGGACCACTGGGTATATCAGTTCGCCTGTTTCTCGCGAAATCTAGTTGAGCTCTGGCCTGGCCATTTGAACTCTTAGTTTTATTTTGTAGCCTGAAAAGTTAATAATAAATCTAATTAACACTTAATAAATGTATTAAGCAATTTTGCAATTTAAATTTAATTTCAATGTTGCAGCCCAACTATTTACAGGGTATCTTGCAGTCCATATCGGTCGAGCACGGCAAATTTTATTTGACAATGCACGAAGTGAATTTTTGATGAGCGTGAAATTTCAAAGGGTCGTGAATGCGTGCGCTTCTTGGTCTCATTTTTACAAGCTAAACAATTTGGTGACAAACTAATTGATTTTGGCTTTGATGGCTTTGACTGCTTCACCAGCTGAAAGCTCCAGTTTTATCTATTTGGCTATGCAAATGTTGATTATTAGGAAGCTGGGGGAAACCAGTTTGGGGCTAGTTAGCTGTTTCGGCTCATAATTGGAATTCGTCGAGACTAATTAGAGTTTGATGTTCATATTTATCGCTGTATGGGGCGTATGCGTAATACGCAAAATTCAGAAGCTTTCTAAAACCAAAATAAAAAACAAAACAAAACGAAAAAGCTGATAAGCTTTGCTAATTTGTTGACAAATTGCAGCTATCTTATCTAATCGCAGCATCCTAATTCGCGAGCGATGAGATCATTTTGATTCAGATAAAGCATTTGGCTTTCTTTGCCCAACTAATCTGTTTACCCCAATTACCTTTGCAGTTGAACGCGCCTAGTTGCATTTGCAAGTCTTAGCCATGGCTGTTAAGGGCGCCCCATTGGTGCTGTCACTCCTCCTGCTGGTCCTGCTGGGCCTAGCCGATGCCTTCGATCACACATTGAAACTGGACTTTCCGGGTCCCTATTGCGCGCGACAGAACACCTGCTGCAAAGATCGGCGCGACGGCTGCTCACTGCCCATATCCAGTTAGTAAATTTCCCTTTATTTTACCACAAATATTTCCCTACTTTACTGACTGTGTGTTCACACAGCCACACTGTGCTACTGTGATGAGTTCTGTGATCGCGATGACTCCGGCGATTGCTGTCCGGACTATCGCTCCTTCTGCTTCAATGAACCGGACCCGGTGCTCAGCTGCCTGCACAACGGCGTCTACTTCCACAAGTACAACAACACGTGGGACAATTGCAACGAGTGCCGTTGCCTGGACGGCGGTCGGGTGCAGTGCGACACGGATCTGTGCCTTACGGATGACGAGCTTGTCCACAGTGTCAACTCAATCCATCAGCTGGGCTGGTCAGCGCGTAAATATGACGAATGGTGGAGCCACAAGTACAGCGAGGGTCTGCGCCTGCGTCTAGGTACCAAGGAGCCCACCTATCGCGTGAAGGCGATGACACGCCTGACCAATCCGTCCATTGATCTGCCACGCAAATTCAATTCCGTTGAGAAGTGGTCCAGCTTCATTTCAGAGGTGCCAGATCAGGGCTGGTGCGGCTCCTCCTGGGTGCTGTCCACCACATCGGTGGCCTCCGATCGCTTTGCCATACAAAGCCAGGGCAAGGAGGTGGTCCAGCTGTCGCCGCAGAATATACTCTCCTGCACACGTCGCCAGCAGGGCTGCGAGGGCGGCCATCTCGATGCCGCCTGGCGCTATCTTCACAAGAAGGGCGTTGTCGACGAGACATGCTATCCCTACACACAGCGTAAGGACAACTGCAAGATACGCCACAACAGCCGTTCTCTGAAGGCTAACGGATGCCGGCCAGCGTATGGCGTCAATCGCGACAGCTTCTACACAGTGGGCCCGGCGTACAGTCTGAGCCGTGAGGCAGACATCATGGCTGAGATCTATCATTCGGGACCCGTGCAGGCCACCATGCGCGTCTACAGAGATTTCTTCTCCTACTCGGGCGGCGTCTACCGCCACACGGCTGCCAATCGCGGTGCACCGACCGGCTTCCACTCGGTCAAAATTGTCGGCTGGGGTGAGGAGCACGATGGCGTCAAGTACTGGGTAAGCTGGGCCGTTTCAGCTATCGAATTTCCGCATACTCATTTATTTCTTTACAGATTGCGGCCAATTCGTGGGGTCCTTGGTGGGGCGAGCATGGTTACTTCCGCATATTGCGCGGCTCCAATGAGTGCGGCATCGAGGAATATGTGCTGGCCTCGTGGCCCAATGTGTACAACTACTACAACGCGAAGGCGGTGTAAATGGAGCCGAGCCGAGTTGAAAAGTTCTCGAAATCTAGAGCTAAAACGCAGTGACGAACAATTTATCTCATGTTTCAAAATTTTCCATTTGCTACAACACTGAAAGTGAATTAGGCGCTTCTCTAATTGTAAATTTATGCTAGAACTTAGGTACTAAAATGATTAGCTTTAAGTCGTGCTGAGACGACGCCACTTTGATAACTGCCCCTCCCGCCCAGCTCCAGATCCGGCACCCAACGAAATAACTCTTGAATTTTACGTAGCTAACACATAGCAACTAATTTATGGAACTCGACTATGTAACAGAAAAACTGCCACATTAACTTGACCACCGTCCTGCCCCGCCCCATGCCCTGACACCTAATACTGCCACAACAAATAGCAAGCGAAGTCTGCTAGAAAGGCATTCGCTTGGCCCATTAATCAGGTTCTCTTTTTTAGCAAGTGATCAAGGCATTATATGAGATACGCAAGGAAAGATTTCTTGAAGGAATGAGTAGGAACGAGTCGGGTTTGTTTATGTCGAAACACTTTTTGCATACTTATCCACTCATGTATTGTAAATGAAAGCTAAGTTAACTGATATATAGACCGATCGCACTTGTTCGGCATTAAATTGTATATGTATGTTTGTAATAAAGGAATTGTATTTCATGTTTACGCTATGTTTCCTTATCCCCATTATTCATGCAAATAACATTCAACTGTTTCTTGACATTTGACTATTCATTTGCTAAAAACAATTTGATCTTAACTTTATTTATGCACAATCAAAAATCTGTCAAATTGCATACAATCAATAATTAATGAATAATTTATAATGGTATATAATTTTTTACTTTAGCTCTTCCTTTGTTTAACAATATTTCACATCTTTTGTTTTGTTTTGCTTTTGCTTCTCTACGTTTTCGTTTAGCAAGGGGTTAAATAATAGATATAATATAAAATACAATTCTTTTTGGGGGGGTTATTACTTGTAATTATGAACTAAATACACGATAATGATAATAAAGGAGAAAAATCATCAAGAATGTTGACACTTTGCACTTACAAGTATATAATCGAAAATCAAAGTTTTAAGCACTTCTTTTTCATTGGATAGTCCTTGCACTATCCTAAACATTCTACAATTTATCATGGAATTTCGTTTCTTTTAGAAAACACAGTTTATAGCATTGTTTTGATCGCTTTTGAAGGTTCTGTATTATTCTGTTTTTTCCAGCCTTTGAAAGAGTGGGTTTTACTATTTGCTGACTGCTAAGTAGCTTTACAAAAATATTCGTGATCGAGGGGCGTTGCTTGCTGTGTTTAAGTGGGTGGCAAATGAAGGAGGATTTCGTCTTTAATTCAGTGTAATGCCAGCAAACGACACTTCCAGTGCGGTGTCATTTGACTCCATGCGGCTGCGCAAATGCGCCAGCGTATTCTTGTAATGACTCTCGATCTGCTTGGTTTCCTCGCTGGGTTCCAGATTGGGCAGCTCTTCGTTGACCTTAGCAATGAGCTGCAAAATGTGATGTTATGAAACTCTGTACCTGGCCAAATATAGTGTGTATGCCTACCTGATTCAGCATGGCTACTGTGATGAGGGAATTGCCTCGTTCGAAATAGAATAGATAATGATTCAATAGCTCCACATATAGTTGCACTTGCACTCCCGTATCCAGACAATGTGAGGCAATACGTGCACCCTTCTTTAGACAGTCCAGCGTACGTTTCTCGTCGCGCATTTCCTCACCATTTTGTCTATAATGATTGCAGATTGGTTTAAGAGTTTGCGTTTACATCGATTTTCAATTGACTTACTTGCCGCTCCAGAAGAGCGCCGCACAAGCTACAACACCCCGACACTGATCCGGTTTCTTAAGTAGTTTGGACGCGGCCAGTGCACAATTGGTGCGCAGCGGCTCGGCGTTCTCCTCGCCAAAACAGGACATTTGCTCAAATGTGGACATGATGAGCGTTATGGCTGCCAGTTGTGCCTTAGAGTCGGAGATTTCATCTTCGTACAGTGAAAAGGCCTGCGTCATGAACTCATATGCCACAGTCTCGTGATTTGTATACCGTATCTCGCCAATAACCAAGGCACCCTGCAGGTACAGGCGTAATGCCAGATCTGGCAAATCCGCTTTGGCCAAAGCACTGATTGTGCTGTGACAGTACTGCACAATCTTTTGACATTTCTTGTCCCAGTTCTCGTCCTGTTCAGCAATTGCTTTGTATTTAAACGCCAGCTGATAAGCGGCAAATACAAGTGGTGGCAGGACGTGCTTCAGTCGCTGGCCCCCGCCGTTGCCCAAATGCTTGCGGGCTATTTGCAGCATTTTGTATTGCATGTCCGGCTCATCAGATTTCAAGAGATGTATAAACCTTTACAGTATAATGATTATGAAATTAAGCTGAATTCGATGCAATGAAACAGCAATTTACCGTGCAACAACGCCTTGCTCCTCTGCAAACTCTTCGGCATCAGCACTGTTATTGGCAGCTGTCGTGTTCGTCTCATCATCCTTGATCAGCGGTGTTATTATCGTTAATATGCTATCTGCCTGATCGGCTGTGGGCACCTGCGTCTCATTCTCCAATATGTTCATAACTAAATATAAAGCCAACGATTTACGTGAGGTGTAATCAAACTTTTCCAACAATGGACAAAAGTTTTGCAGTTGTATAATGGTCAGCGCGTTGTTGTAGAAATCAATGCAGATGCGCAGCAGACGAGAGAGTTCCTGATTCACAGTCAACAGGTGCGAAATGCTGAAAGTTCAGTAAATTACATTAGCATAGATTCATGAAAAGGGCCGCAATTCTCACTTGTTCATGTTCATGCGATCAAGTATTTGTGCGGTTGTGCCTAGCACTTTGTCCACATAGTCAACCCGATCGGCGTACACTTTCTGGGCTAAGCTGAGTAAGGCCACCTGCAGCGATATTGTATCCTCCAGTGGCATGTCTGTGCGCGTTTGCACAATGTTTGCCACCTGCACGCTAAACACCTCAAACAGCTCCACCTCGGCGGGTATGATAGCATCAATGGCATTGCCACTCGACTGGAATACAATGCGATTAATAATTTCTTAATGTGTGTGTTGAGCTAGTTTACCTTGCCGCTGCGTTGATTATAGGCGGCCAGTCGTTCGATGAGTGATATTATGATGTTCTTAACATTCACGCCTGTCTCCAGCTGGGCGCAGGACTTTAGGAACGGATCGAGTGTCTGTAGATGAAACTCATCGGGGAATACTTGAATGATGCACTCCATTAAATACTCTTGCGCAATGGCATCGCGACAGCTGACCACCTGTTCCAGTATACCGGGTAGTATTAAACGTCGGTACGTCTCCAGTGTGGCAGACTCCAACTGCGAGAGACGCACCAAGTTCGTACCAACTAGAATTTTCAGCTCTTCGCGTTCCTTTTCCCGGCGTGTTTTCTCGCTAGAATGGCCCTGATGCTGCATGCGCACCCACAATTTATTCATCTCTGCGAAATTCGTTAGCACAAAGTCGATGGCATCGTACACATTGCCCTCATGCTCATTCTCCGCTACCAGAACGTCGGGCAGTATGTTGCGGGTGCACTGCAGCAGATAATTACGTAAGAAGAGACCGCGTAGCGGATGCTGAACGCCTCGACACATTTCCACCAGATCCTTCAGAATACTGCGCTTTAGCGTCGAATCGTTCTTTATGTACACAATGCCCACTGTGATAAGCAGATAGAGACGTGGCACTATCGTGTGCGAGTACTGAACGAGTTCGTATAGATCCGTCTCCTTGTTGCTCTTCTCGCTCAGATACAGTTCCAGGTGACACAGCTCATTCGTGACGGACATATCTGCGCACAAATATGTAAATATTTATTAAACGAATGTGAATAGTGTATAATCTTATATCTTATATATTTGTCTGTACTTACACAATTCGTAGTAGCTCTTCGGCGACAACAACGAGGTGCGTAGCTCGCTTAGCATCGTGCTGGCACATTTGAGCGCGTCCAGCATGCGCTCCTTGTCCAGAAAGTGATTCATTTGGAATGCCTGTTTACGCGCCGCACCGGCCGCCTCGGCGAGCAGCTTCTCCTGGTCGTCCAAACCATTCGGCATCGTCTGAAACGAAACATAGCATACAGTGTCGGGCAAAGTGGGCCAACAATCCGATGAACGCGAATACATGTGAGAGAATGAGTAATTGCAGCAGCAACAATTTGAGTGAATTGAAAATAACAAAACAGAAGGCACATAAAACAATACACATAGCGAGTGTGATGAGATAAGCGTCGACAGCTCGTTCGGATGTTGCTGGATTGAGCGAAAGATGATAACATAAAACAGAGCTGAAAATGGTTTCGCTAAGATTTCGACCAATTGCTGACTGCGACCCCCGGGGCGTGCATTCAGTGTAAAAGCGAACAAATAGTTTTAAAACATTAGTGCAAATAGTAGTAGATAGTGCTGTGGTGTGAAGAGGGGAGTGGAGTGTTGGATAAGCTTTGCCTCTGCGTGGCGTATTTACCCTGGTTTGGCCACCAGTGGGCGCTTGGCCGCCGTACGTGGAGGAGTTCCAGGGATACATGCTGGATGATCGGGGTGCTGTGCTTTTGGTGGTAGTGGTGGTGTTGGTATATGGTTAAGTGGACTCCAGTTATGCTTGCGGCGGCTGTTGCAAGTGGCAAATTGCACTAGATTTGCCGCTAGCAAAGTGGGCGGGCGAGGGCGCAGTCAGCGTTTTAGCGTTTGCAGTTTGTCTTTCTTTTTTGTAGCTACTAGGTACTTGCTCTATGCTGAAATGTCTGTTTCCGGCTTCTGGCGACTACGTTTGGGTTGAGGGCGCACTTACCATTACAGCAGCGTTAAGTGGGCGGAGCAAGGATGAGAAATTATCTTAAATTAAAGTAATTTTTTCAATAGTTTTGTACTCAGTGTGACCACAGGCGGCAAGCGATAAAATCGAACATACTTAAAATACTAAAGATATAAAAATACCAAAAGGTGTCGTTAAGCAACCTGGTCACCCTATGAAGAACAGTTTGCAATGTAAATGATGTATTTATGTATATTTTCTGCCGGATTATATTTGCTTAATAATTATGTGATTTGAGTACAATACAATCAATTTCTGCCTAGTCTTCTGTCGCGCAGCTCTTTGCAAAGAGCATCTTCAGCATCTGGATCTGAACCCTGCTGCTTATTCTCTTCGGCCTTCTCGGCCGCTTCCTTCTTCAACTTAACTACGCCTTCGCGGACCACTTTATCAATATCGTCAAGCAATCCGGTAGCGCCGAAACGGAAACGCTGCGGTGTCAACCAGCGAGGGCCTAGTGTCTCTTTAACGAGAGTCATCCAGGAGATAGCATCTCGCACTGTGCGTACACCGCCAGCTGGCTTGAGGCCAACTATTTGACAAGTCCGTCGCTTGAACTCCTGTATGGCGAAAATCATAACCAATCCAACGGGCAGGGTTGCGTTTACAACCTCTTTGCCTGTAGATGTCTTTATGAAATCCGCGCCCGCCATCATGCATACCATGGCCGCCTTGTAGACCTAACAAAAAAGTAAATCTTTAAGAGATTCAACTGGTGATCGCTAACTCACATTCTCCATGGTACCCAGTTCGCCAATGGCCAGGATGGTCTTGAGAAGTGCGTGGTCACCGCAGGCGCTGCGCATGAGCCTCACCTCGTTGTACAGCGCCTCCCAGTCGCCTAACAGTGCCAGCTGTCGATTGATAACAATATCAATCTCTGTGGCACCGGCTAGAATTGCATGGCTAATTTCCTGTAGTCGAGTCTGCAAACCATATTGCCCAGTGGGGAACCCGGTGGCTACAGCGGCAATTGAAACTCTATCCAACTGTTTGAATTGTTCAATCGTCTTATAGGCGTCCTCAACACGTGCCGGATACACGCACACAGCGGCACAGTGGACGTCCAAAAAGAGCGTGCGCTCAAAGAATTTGTCGAAAAACTGAGGCTCAAAGGGATAACAAGCGCGCACACACATCCGACGCACATTCGCTCTTGTATCATCTCCAGCTAGCGTGGTCAGGTCTGTCAGCATGAGTGCTCTCAGAGCCCAAGCTATTTCATTTGTACCAGTTACTATACACTGGTGCGATAGGGTCATTGCAATCTCCTCCACTTGACGTAACGATATGTTTACAGTTAACAATGAGGGATCTGAAAGATCGATTTGGAGGATGAAGGTATACATGCTATATCGCTTCGATCGTCTTACCAAAAGGCAGCGTCTTATTCACAATTAATGTCTTGGCCTCCATGTCGAAATTAGGACTGAAAATAGAGTTTTACAAGGTACTCCCGATTTTAGTAGATGAAACACTGCGCTCTAAGCGTCAGCCTTGGTATATAGGGTGTGTTAACGTGTTGATTGAATAATTCGAAATACATTTACAATGTTACAAAACTAAATATTTAGCAAAACATTTTTTAGGGGAAAATGATTTGAAAGTCTAAGCTAAGAATTAGATCTCCATACGACAAAGGCCAGAAGAGCTAATAAATAAAATTAGTCAAATTAAATTTGGCTGTTAATCAACTGTTTTGACTTCGTCACACATTTGAAATACACGCCCATTTCTAATACTGGAATAATAATGACTTGCATTGTGTGGAGGACAGTTCATGAATGGACAGATAACAACTAAATCGATTTAATTTTCATTTAAGAAATATGGAACTAATAATACGAACACTCATTCGTTTGTGACAACCAATAATTGCTGTTATTTTATTGTCCTAATTATACTAAAATTTTGCATTGAAGTTGGAACGGGTAAAAATAGTATATTGTTAAGTCAACGATGCTTCGACCACTGCTCCCAGTATGATTGTTTCTGCATCTCGTATAGTCGGGATATTGTGCGCTCAAAGGCGAATAATTCTTCTTCTCCAGTAAAAACGCTTGACTGTCATGAAAAGAAAGAGCAAATTTGAATTTGAATCAAAACTGTTTGAATAGTTTAAACGTCTTGTACTTACAGAAGTCTCGCTCAGTTTCAGGTCGTCCATTAAAGAACGATCCGAATCAGATATTCCTTTAGAATTACCAGAGACTTCAAAAAGCTGGTCCAGCGGTTTATCCGCTGAGATAACAACGCGTACCCGATTATCGTACAGAGTATCAATAAGCGTGATAAATCTCCTCATTTGGGATCTCACGTTAAGGTTCAGCTGGGGCACGTCGTGTATGAGTACTGTATGAAAGAACTGTGCTATTTGGACGTAGTCATTACCTGATAATGGCTAAAAACGACACAGATTAAGAACTGCCTCATTATCATATCGAAGAAAATACTCACGCGGTCGCAGAGCTCATTGAAGGTGCTGTTCAAGACCTGTCCACACGTGCGTTCAAAAGTCAATTCGCGACCGAAATGTGTGATTGCGCGGGGTCTTATGATGTCATTCTCCTCTGAACACAGAATCTTGAACATGCGATTCATCATCTCATTAGCGTCCGTCTGACCTTTCACGAAATAGTTAGTGTCGCCAGATTGGGCGACGCGTCGATAATCAATCGAGTCAAGGTTTGCTGTTTGGCAGCGTTTCTGTAGGAGACTAATAAACGGCAAAAAGTTGACACGTTGTAATCCGTTCTTGTAGAGATCCTCTGGATGTCGATTGCTTGTAGCGATTACGACAATGCCATGTCTGAAAAGGTGCGTGAATAGTCGCTTAAGTATCATCGCGTCCGCAATATCTGTCACTTGAAACTCGTCAAAGCAAATGAGCCAAGATTCGTTTGCTATAATATCCGCAACGGGCTTAGTTGGGTCGAATGGGGCTGGTTTCTCCGAATTGAAGGCACGATCCGCTGGACCCTGTCGTTCCTTCGCTTCGTGTATAAGCGCGTGCACCTTCGTCATGAAAGCGGTGAAGTGTACTCGACGCTTTTGATGGACCTGTTAATATTGTGATTGATCGATTAAGTAAATAAAACTAATATATAATATTTCAATAGAAAAGTAATAATTTCAGATAAAAATATCAAAAGATAAAGAAAGCAGAAACCGAAAACTTGCCGGAGTCGAATATATTGAGTTCAACTATTTATTGGCACTAGATCGGCTTAATTTTTCTTCGAACTTTGATATTATATCGTAAAGAAATCGTAGTTAAAACAAAGTCTTCGATTTCTTTTATGGCAGTCTTTTTTATACACACATCTGTAAAGCAATCGTAAAAAATGTCCATTAGCGTGGTCTTGCCCACACCCACACTACCGTAGATGTATAAACCTTGGGGGGCGTGGCTGCCCGCATTCAAATCGTCATCTGCATCACTGCTATCACTGGATTTACTGCCGAACAATGATGAAAAGAATCCACCGCCAGATCCTCCTCCCTGTGTGGAAGGCTTATATCCTTGGAGTCGATTGTAGAGGTCGTCCAGTGCCTGCATTGTTTGTTGCTGCTTGTTATCGTGCTTTAGTTGACCAGAAGAGACTCGCTTCTGATACTCTGCCAGCGGACTCAGGTGGCGGTATTGCAAGATTACACATGTTTGTTCTAATTGGAGCAACAATTTCGATTGGGAACGCAGAGCCAAGCGCGCGACTGAACCCACTTTATAAATCAACATTTTATGGCCAAAATGTTATATCACACAGTTTGTTGGGCAGTCTATTGGAATTCTTCACGTCAGCTTAACATATTACATAAACAATTTTGGCGATTTCCGTGTTGCCGAAACGTTGACCGCGAATTTCATACGTCGGTGTTGGCCGTGAATTTTCACTAACAAAATGACACAGCTGTTGTATTTGCCATTCACCGTTGACAGCTTGCCAGTTAACAGCTGTTTGCCATTCCAATCGAAGACCTGCTCTAGCTCATTTTTGAGCCGTTGCAAATGAACTTGCACCAAATTTGAATTTGTTTCTGGGATATGCTATAGATAAAGCCAAAATGAATTTAAAGTTCAAAGTTTACACATTTATTATACATTTATTACACATAAGGTTTTGTAATAGTAAATGGAATATATTCGACTCTCAATCTTTAACATTCTTTTAGGCTGCTATCTCATGAGAACTATTTAGTTTTTATGGCTGACTTTTGCGTTTCTACATAGCTTTTTACATTCAATTTTTCGACCAGTTAGCATCTGGGAACGACGGCTCGAATTCATTTCAGTTTAATAACTTTCTGCTGGTTTTCATGCAGGAGCAAAAAAAACATACATCTAAATATTTTTACTAATAAATTCATACATTTATATTATTTATTATAATTTCCTTTGCTATTTTAAAGTGAATCGGGCATTGCCAAATATATATATATTTTGCTTTGTCGTATTATATATTCTTTTAAATTCCATTGTGCTGCATTAGTTTTGATATACAATACATGTTAGTTCACATCTATAATTATAAAGCGCAAATTCTGTGTTTTTTTTGTCAACATATTAAAATTTGATTACTTGAATTGTGACTTTGATAATTTGAAAAAAATTATTGCGTAGAATCTTTCAAAATCTGATACAGAAATTGCACTATATACTGCAGTTCTCAAAGATTAGTTTTACTTAATAAATGGGCTTTTATATATTTATTTAAATTTTTGATATTAATGTTAATTTGATGTAAATACTAATGTTAAACACTCGAGTTCCCCGAGAGTGGAGAAAACAATTCTTTTGTTTATTCTTTTTTTTTGTGGTAGCTCTAGTTCAATTTCGAATGGTCCCGACTTATGTAAGAAACCTATAATAACATCCACTTGGATCAAAAATATTCTGTTTGCATGCGCCAAAAAAATAAGCGAAAATCACTTAAGAACTATGTAATGCAAATTGAATTTGAATAGTATAACATTATAATGAATTATTAACTAGTTTTGTTTTTAGCTTTGAATATTGAATAATCGAATTGAACAACACGAATATTAGTACGATTAAAAATGCCATCGAATTAGCATTATTCAAGTATATAATTTAATTAATTATAAATTCTGTTCGGCTTACAATGGCCAAAACACGCTTTAAAAATCAGTACAATTGATTCAAATCTCATCGTGGGATTATAATTAAATTCTTTAAAAAATTACAAAAAATTATTGCTTTTGATTTGCATATATATATTACAATTTCAATAATATAATATAATAGTTAATTAACTCTGGTCAAGCTCTGTAAACTAATTTGATTCTCGTTTCGTTAAGAACTCAAATGAAAGGAAATAATAGCTGTCTGGGCTGGAAGTTGAGTTGGATTCTTGTTAAGGAAAGAAAAACACTTTGAAACATAAATAAATTAAAAGTATATTTTATATTTGTTGAATATGTACACAAAGTTCGATACATAAATAATATAATTAAAATGACTAGCATTAAAGTATAGTGTATAAATGATACATATGTACAGAGATAATACGGCTATGTTTTACGAGTCTATTTGTAGCTTGTACATTTCGAAACTTAGGCGAATAAGTTGAGGGAGCTTTTCTATTTATCGTATATGCTAATATATGTAGATAATCCTTTGGATTTTGTATGCACCGAATTTGAGAAACCAAATGGCTAATGGGTTAATAATTGTAATAATAACGAAAATGCCCCCTCTTCCCCAGCTGGGTGCTGGCCATGCTCAGTCGTTGTGTTTGTGTAGTGGAGGAGGAGACGTTTAGAGCACGTGCAGATTTTCGCAGCTCTTCGACTTGGAATCTCGCGTCCAGACGCGTCCGAGCAGTCCCTTGACCTTGAGGCTCGTCGATGTTCGGGAGCCGCGATATTTACGTGGGCTATAGAAATAAGATCAACAAGTTTAGCGTTGTAATTAGCTGTCAGGTATTCGGGTGTTCAAAGCAACTCACCTGCTGTGTGCGCTTCCGGGCGGCGTTCCAGAGCCATCGCCCAGTGCGGCTCCCAGCGGACCCAGCGGCGTGTTGGCATTGAGGCAACCAGAGCTGAGCGGCGAGCAGGCACGACGCTTGGACTTGCGAATGGAACGCTTGCGAAACAGATCCCTTTAAGTGAAATCATATTTAGAGTCTTACAGATTCGGAAGCTGCTCAAATACCAACCTGGATTTTTCGGGATTCTCGAGCTTGAGGCGTATCTGCGACAGCAGACCCACCAGCAGCTCATCTACATTGTGATTAATGCCCACCGATGTCTCAATGAATTTGCAATCATATGCAGTGGCCATGGCCTTGCCCTCTGCAATAAAAAAAGTAGAGAATATTTTTGTTAGTGCTTTGCTGAATCTCAGTTATGCGGCAAGTTAATCAAATCAAATTGCGTCGCTTAGTTAAACTCTTGGGCGGGTAATAAAAAGCCAAACTTGGACACTTAATACCTAAACACGTTGCCCATTAACCACAGCCTCTCAGCTAACAGCGACTGCCCCAATCTCGCCGCCTTCCCCTTGCAAGGGCCCAGCCAGCTCTATAGATTTCGTCACGTTTACTGCGCCTGCTGTCGTTAAAATCTGTAGCCTACGAGTACAATAAGTAGCTATGCGTATGTTTTTGCAGGACCTCTTTTATGACAGCCACACACACACACATCCGTACATGCTCATATACACACACATACATATACGTTTTTATTAACGATGTGCGAAAAAAGTTGGCGTCATTTTATTAGATTTTGATAGGATGTTCTCATCTCCGCATCTCCTCATCTGCGCAGCTTCTCTTAAATGCCATCAGCTTATTACGGTGCTTTTATTAAACACCCAGCTGGCAGTAGTGCAGGGAGCTTTAAAGATTTATTTTGCAAAATATTTTTGCCGCCCCTTTCGCTGTGCTCGTTGAACAAAAGTCAGCTTAGTCCTGCTCGGGCGCTTAATTAAAAGCAAACACAAATCATAAACAATGCGAACTACTTGGCAGCCAAATGGCAAATGCCAAGAATTTCAAATATTCCTGAGTGCCGCTCAGCTGCTCATATATATATATAGTATATGTATATAGAACGTAGAATGTCGGATATCATTTAAGTATTAGTTCGCTTCCTGTGCACTTTAATTGCTTTTTTATTTGATCATTTTACTTGCTTTATTTAATTTTTTTCTTTTGCATTTATTAATTTCTTTGAGACTCTCTCATGTTTTCGGTAATCTTGTTCTGCTCTCCCCATTCCAAACGCTATAAATATTTTATGAAATTTCTGCTAAAACATCATCCCCTAAGCATCCTCTTTGTATTGACAACAATAGAAATGGGCTTATTAAGGCGTAAGCCGCAGGAATGAAATGTAATCAATTTTGCGCTTAAACAATTTTCCTAGCTACATAAGTATAAAAGCGCGTCCATTCGCTCCTTGCTACCCACGCTGCCCGCTGTCTTCTCGCAACATTTTTGCTGCTGCTTTTGTCAACGCTGCTGACACTTTCATAAGCGGCCATTAGAAACAAATGTAATTTGTGAAAATATTGAATTTCCTAGATGAAAGCCATGCCTAGTGGATTGTTGGCTAACGGGGAATAAATCTCCTGACCGTTTAAATTGTTATTAAGGTAGATGTCGATGCTGAAATACTTTACAGAGAGTTGAGCATGAGTTATATGTTGAGTTTTTTATACTAATATTATTTTTAAACTTTAACAGCCTCGTTTTCACTTGAAATCTGTTAACATACAGACTCTGTTAAAGTTGACATAAGAGTTATTTCCTATCTTTAACTGTGAAGTGTTACTTGGAATCTGTTTACAGACTGACACTCTGTTAAAGTTGACAGAAACTTAAATGTTATTTCCTATCTTAACAGCCTAGTGCTCACTTGAAATCTATTAACAGTCTGACTCTCACTGACAAATATGTTAACATTTAACAGTAATTCAATTTAAAATTCCACCCGTTCCCAAGCAGAATAAATAATATAAATATCAAATAAAAAAAATATATATTTCAACATTTGAAAAAAAAAGGTAAATTATTTAAGAAGGTCTTGTGTTCGGGTCATACATAAATTTTAAACAACTTGAAGTACCTACAAATGTTTAGGGTATTTAAATGGCTGTACTCGAATATACATAAAAAGCAATGGGCGCCCAGTTGAGTGACCTTCACTTGCTTAACATTTAACGACAGCTTCTATACATTTATATACATTATACATGCGCACATGGTGTGTGTGTGGGTGTGTTTGGTTGGGCGAACCGCCAATCAACTTCCGCTTGATCAACTTTCATTGAAAAACCAAAATTAAAGCGACTGCAGCTGTCTGTGGACGCTTTTGTGGTGTCCTTTGCAGACATCCAACGACACCCAACAGCAACAACAGCGGCCACACACACCGACACACCTTGTCATTATATATGTATCTATTTTTAAGCGAAAATACCCCATCGAGCACATTTTGAAGTGTTAATGAAAGGCAGAAGTGGAAATCGTTTAGTCAGCTGAATTGAATCTAGTTTATTTACCTTCGGATGTAACGAGTCGACTCCTGGCGAGGTCCGCTTTGTTCGAGACAAGAATAACGGCTTTCTGTGCGATGTTTTGATTGGTCCATAACACCTGAAGCACCTGCTCGGCAATGCTAAAGCTGCTGCGGTCCGCGGCGGAGTAGATGACGCAATAGCCATGTGGATCATAGTTGGTCAAGCATTCATCCGGCTGTGAAAGCAAAGGACACAAAACTGACATTGAGTGAGGTTCAAGAGATGCCTGAGCTGTGTGTATGTGTGTGTGAGTGAGTGTCTGTGCGTGTCTGTGTGTGCATGTGTGTTGATTGTGTATGTTAATGGCATTATGAAATGTGACATTTAAAGTATCTCTAAGGTTGAAAGGCGATTGGTTTGCAGTGAATCGTCCCTAGTTCGAATGGCATTTCGGGTGAGCGATGCCCATAGAAGAGTCAGAGTACTTACGGTCATTTCAGTGTATCCATGATCTATAAATATTAGCTCAGACTCCTCGCCGCTGAGTAATACTGATACGGCTTTTTCGCCAGATTCGTCATCTGTTCGTTTGAGAAAGATTTGATTAGAGGCGAATTCCAATATTTCGATGTTTTATGTACAAAAATTTATAGTATAATAATAATTATAATAATAACAGAAAGCAAGATAAAGCTACAAAGGAAAAGGTGCAAAAAACGTGATTTTCATTCAGATAGAGGTATTTTTATACTAATATACATATATTTACAGATTGGTTTGTGGTCGGGTTTTTGGTGTTTTTTTACTTTTCTCTCTGTGGCATTTCTCATGCAATTCTAAATTTAAATTATTGGGGCGGGCGGGCATTGGGGTGGTGGGACAACTTTAATATGATGTATGAGGACAAATACATTAAGCTGAGGCATGATGTGATAAAAACATACTTTATCGAGCGTGTTTTAAATATTTGATTGATATATGCTCTCGAATTAAGAGTTCGCTGTGCGCCCAGCGGTATGCAATGAAATATGAATGGCTGTGTGCTTGACTGTGCGTGAGTGTGTGTGCGTGAGCGTGTGTGTGTATTTGATTTCACCAGCCATATTGCATACATATACATATGTAAATTTATTGTTTTTAGAGCCTATTGAATGGCAGCACTGCAAATTGATGATATATCTGATACAGTCTGACCCTTCATCCTGCACTGTTCAATTTTCAATTTTCAATTTTCGATTTATGGCAGGCTATAAATTACAACTGTAATTGTCTTTTTTTTCATTTTCTCTGTTTTTGTGTTTATTTATTGCACTCTGTGAAAATGCACATTTAACAGCTGAGCAGGCAGTTTAATTAAAGCCCTCAAAATCGGCGATAAATTAATTATATGCATGAAGTATTAACTATATTATATTATTTTTACTTTTGGCTCTCACAATCTACCTCGACCTAATGACATTTACACATATTTGTATTCGGGCTTTATTAATAATGAGTCGACCCATTCACAGGGGCTTTGCGGTAGGAGTTTGAGCTAATCATAATTTCTTTGAGTTCGGAAAGGGGTACTTTGTGTTTGTTTGGGGCAGTGGGGCGTAGGGGCGTGGGGCGTGGGGCGTGGTTGTGTGATTGAGTAAACTACTTAGGACTTAAGCCAGTGGCCTAATCAGTAGGGAGTGTACGTGGTCGTGTGTCCAGTGTGTGTTAAGATTAGATAAAATTAAGAGCTAGTTGAGTAAGTTGATTGGAATTCAATTGGAAACGCAACGCAAATGCAGCTCAAACGTTAAACAAGTGAAAAATGAAAATTTCAAAAAATTTTGTATGTTTTGTTGGAAAGCAGTTAGTATAGATTAAATATGGAATTGGAATAAATATTATTATATATCGTATAATTATTTTTGATAGATTTAGTTGTTGTTGTTTTTGATTGTTGTTGTTGCTATTACCGTCGGCGGCTTTTTCAATATGTATGCGTATATCACAGTTGCCTAGATCTGAATTAAGTTTCGTTTTGCGTTTGTTTGTTTTATTTTTTTTTTTCAATTTTTTTATATTTGTTGTTGTTGTTATGTTGAATGAAACATTAGGTTGTTGTATATGGTAAAATATGGTCGAAAGACGAGAGAGAACAGAAAAATATCAATCATTTTATTTTGTTGTGTGTTTGGTGTTAGAATATTAAAAATGATTTTTTACATTAGTTTCATGTGCTTGGTAAAGTTAGAGCAAAATGTTGTTCATGGGAAATTGGAGTGCAAATATTGAGTCTCGCTCCAAATTTTCCGCACTGCATTTAGCCGCGCTGTACATCTGCAGGAATTTTCTATTTTATTTGCTTTTTGAATTGGCGTGAAATTTTTCCAAATGCGAGTTGTAAAAATTTTCCAACACAATTCGTTTCGCCAATTTATGCGATCAAATCTCGGCGGCCATATGTACAAGGCGGGTCGTAAAAAGTCAACCGACATAAAGCGTGAAATAAAAATAATGATAAATATAAATATATGCTTTTGTGATATGGTCGTAAATTGTTGTAGTCAAGGGCAAAGCACAGAACGACACACAAAATTCAACAGATAAACAAAAACAAACTCAAAAGCCACGCAAATGAGACGAGAGTCAAAAAAACCGAATCAAATCATTTGTGGAGGCAAATGCCAAGGCAACCAAAAACCAAGGGGATACAACGAAACTAGACATACACAGATTTAAGGGTCAAGGGTTGAGGACCAGACTGACACTAACACAGGGAGCACACACAGATACACAAGCACAAACGCACACACACACACACACACAGACACACACTCACAACGACAAAAAGCATTAAAACCTAAACCTAAACACTAAGACGAAGTTTTAGCAGCATTCAAGTGGTTTGTCTCTGGCCAGTGGCTGACCGTGCAACAATTATGGTGGGGGAATGGCAGGGCGGGATGGAGGCTACTCACCAATGCTTGTGTCATATGCATGCAAATACTCCGAGGTCATGAACTGCGAGACCAGCGAACTTTTGCCCACGGCCGGACCGCCAAGCATCAGAACTCTGCAGAGAAAAAACAAACCGGGGATTAGTTTAAGCTGAGTGGAAAACTCTGTTGCTGTGCGCGTGGCGGGCTTACCTGTAGGGTCCATTGCCCGGATTGGAGGTGCTGCTCTCCCGACTGGAGGCCAGCGAGGTGCGTGCCGAAGCGGAACTGGGCGCCGGCAGCTGCTGTTGACCCTGCTGCAGCTGCAGCTGCTGCTGCTGCTGTTGTTGGGCGGTCAAGTGCTCTGTGCTGGAATTGGAGCTGGCAACGCTGTTGTTGGAGCGACTGCGGCGACTCTTCAGCGAATCGCCACGATTCACAACGCCCTTGCCTGTGATGGAAAAGTGACGCAGTCTGTAGTACTCCTCCTCGACGCCAGTGTTGGGCATGGAGGCGACGCTGTATGTATTAAGATGAAGATGTTTACTTAAGAAGTGCCATTTGGCAGCGTGAAGCGTACAACACTTACCGAGATCTCTGCTGGGGCAGACACAGCTGATTTGGTCGCCCAGAGGCGCGACTGCCGGGCATCTTCACCGACTGCGAGCGGCTGTGATGCGGTGAGCCATAGCTGCAATTGTCAAATGTGTCGAATTAATAGCATTTTTCAACTGGTTCGGAGAGCGTTTAAAATCCAATTTGCTGCAATTGACAGCAGCTGCAATGCACTTTCAGCTGCGGAATTTTAACCGTAATTGGAATGCCAACACACCCACACACCCACTCACACGCACAAAGAGTTGTTTGTGTGTGGCTTGGCCTTGCAACATTTTGCTGGCATTTGCACGCATGTTTGTTAACTTGGCTCACAAACATGTAGCAGAGCACTTGGCCTGTGCATCCACTTGACCACACAGAGTTAAGCTCGAGGAGTCAATTTTCAAATTTCGACAAACGCCAACGTTAAATGAAAAAACATTTTAAATGTAAGTCCAAATTAAATTCGATTTAAATTTACATTAATTTTAGTTTAGTTTCAGTCAGGCTTAGACTTTAAGTACTTTAAGAGTCGTGCTGCAAAGCTCAAATAGCAACTATAAACTGAGTATATGAAACTGAAGCCAAAACATAAACTTGGCCATATTCTAGCCTTTGTTTTTATAGCCGCTTCAACAGGTAAAATGTTTTTAAGTCAGGCAACCGCTCGGTCGTATACGTGATATGTGAATTTAGAATTTATGGTTTTTTGAAATTGGAAATAAATGAATTCGAAATCAGAAGTAGCACATCAAATGCAATTGAAGGTCGTTTTTATATATTTGTGCAATAATCTGATATCATTTTGTTTGCTCGTCTTTTTATGGCATTAAATTGTGGCATTAAATGCAATCTTCAATTGATGGCCTTTTGCCTTTGGTTGGGCAACTTACCGCATTTCAAAGTCGCGCAGCTCCTCAATTGTTAGCGTATTGGTTACATCCAACAGCTGGCGCATGTTCTCGTCGCGTTTGTGTTGCTGCTGCTGCTGCTGTTGCTGGGAGTAGGCGTGTCCCTGCACCTGGTGGTGGTGATGCTGTGCGGCGTGCGGCGGATGCGCTAGCTGCTGTGAGTGTCTCTTGCGTGCATTCAGCTCTTTGCCTTGCTCCACACTGATGAAGTCTCCCTCATTTTTGATGAGCAGCGTCTCGACTGTGTTGTCCATGCTCAGCGATGGCTGTACGGAGGCAAAAGGAGGATTGGATTAAAGCGGATTGTTATAATTCAATGGGACACTCTTATCTCCGTGAGTGCGTCGCTTGCTTCAATTAGCACTCAAGCTCTTTTTTTCCCTCAAAACTTTTCTCAATACTTGGCTTAACATTCTGCATAGAATTCCTATTCAGACCTTCGTCCATTGCCGTTTTTGAGTGGCCCAAGGCTGTGCTCCACTTAGCTGGAGTGGCTCTGTCCAAGCTATACAGTTGTGCAAAATAACTTTTCGCCTTATCTACACCTTGAAGTGTAGCGAATGCAACTGCCTTGCGGCATCGCGTGCTTCCTGCTGGCAAAACTAAAAAGAAGGCTAAGCATTTCGCCATTTGGTGTCGAGGCTGAACACTTTTGCTTCCACTCCAGCAGAAACTAAGTAAACAGGGTCATTAGTAGACCAATAAATTTTGATCCACTGATATTCTAATGAGCCCTACTTCCAATTACAGTTGTTCAGAATGGCTAGGCAAATATATTTCTAAAGCCTTTCAATTGAGTATTTTAAATGTGATTTTAGACTTTAAATTTTCTTATATTTATTTATGTTCGTATATATATTAACTAAACCTTCGTTTTCAGCCCGTTCGGCGAGCTTACGAGTTCAAGTGTCTTAAAATATTTGTCTGGCTTTATAAGAAGTATCTCCTTAGCTCTCGTAAATAAACGCGATCAAACAAGAAAAAGCGCATTAATTTCAACAAATTGAAAATTTTTTAACAAATTTACGCAAGCAACAAAAGTTTTGCCATAAATTACAGTCTCTGCTTTAGGCCTTCACCTGTAAATGACGATGTACTGCTTGACTAACCGAGAGGAGAGGTGAGGAGGAGGAGAGAAGGCACACACACAGCTCCAGTAAGCGCGTTGCATATTTGAGTATTTTTTCGGCAAATGTTGATATTAATGTTGTATATTTTATTGGCTCGCATGACAGAGGCAGCGTTTCTTTGGCTTGCCTAATTAATAAGACGTACGCATGTGGTAGTGGGTGTGGGTGCGTGTCACACCTTGGGTAAGCTGCCACGCGACTGCCCCTTCCCTTGGCATAGAATACTTCTCAAGTGGACGCAAGTGAAACTTACTTTAGGCGGGCGTACACAGGGGAGCAATTTGCCCGCTGCGCACAGTCCTTGATTAAGACATCCTACTTTATGATGACAACGCGGCGTATGCGCAATTTTGCGTATTGTATGCGTGCGACATATGCCACACACACAAAAACCGCGAGAAAGAGCTAGATGCTAATTAAAATATAATGTATCGTTGATAATTAAAACGAACTGAGAGCTCTATAAGTTTTATTTATTTTTTGCTCCCGCCACATTTTTTTGGCTATCCGCATACGCCCCGTTGTGCTGAGCAACGATAAACGTATTCATGCCTGCAGCCACGTAGCGGGAAAGTCTTCAAAAATGAGAGTATTCCGGGCCACTACGAATACATTTCATATATAGCTGCGAGAATATTGGAATTCTAAAAAACGTATAGATCAAATCAGAATCTTATCAAAATGCTGTGGAAAAACCTCAGGAAGAGCATTTGTGAGTAGAGTTGAACCAACGGCAGCTGCTTCGCCTTGCAAAGTGTGTGTTTCCCATCAATTCGCAATTGGCCATTAGCCGCAGCGAACAGTGTGCGAGAAACATGTGTAGCGGTTTTTAAATAGACAAATTAAAGGAAATCGTGCCCGAAAATGAACTAATAAAAAAAAGCGCGAATAAAATGGCATTCAAAATCGACTGCTGCAATACGTTTGATTGCAGCCACGGGGCACGGGGCACGGGGCGTATGAATTTTGTTGTTTACTTTAGTGGATCTCAAATGAATTCGATTTGTTTGTTTATTTACATAGTTTTGCGCTGCATTTGGTCAATCACTATGCAGTTTCGGTCAGCTCCGCCATATACATTTCTAATTTAATGCAAATGCCATAAAAAGTAAACGATATTCCAAAAGGCTAGCAAAATATGCCGAATATGTGTACATATGAATTGATTACGCGAGCTGGCAGCGTCTGCCAGCGCTCACTTCACACCTCGCCATGGCCACGCCCCATTGTCTATTTTTTGCATGCATTAAAAATACATTCAGTTTGCTTTAAATGTGTATAAAAATAAGCATGGTCCATGGCAGGCCAGACACTTGCCGTCTTTCTGTTAGATTTGATGCCAGAAGCGCATTGCATTTGCTTCAGATCTCTCAAATTGTTGGCCATTGCAAACAGCTGCCATGTGCTGGCCATTGGCCATTGTCGAAATTGTGGAAAATTTTCAGCTGCAATCATTAAGCTGAATTGATTTTTATACGTTTGAGTGGCATACTAAAAAAAGCATTTGATTTCTCGCAAGCCAAACAAATCCAGTCCAGCATTGGCCACTTGGCTCAGCTAATTTCGAATTATAGTTGAGAACTGATTTATAAAGGTTTTTTCATTTGAATTTCAATATAAATTTGAATTTCTATTGCTGTAAGCACACCGCTCCAGTTTGTTGTTCATATATGATCTGCATGTTGATAGATTAGCCTTGGTATTAGCCAGGTATTTTCGGGCTTTCTGTTAATAAGCTACTTATTTGTTATTGGCTGTTTTTCCGTTGTTTTCATATCTCGCCCCTTTCCTGTGCCAATTTCATATATCATTAATAATTTTTGCTGTTTTGTTGCAGTTCGCTTGGCCACACGCCAGCTGCCTGTTGCAAGGGTACAAAGTCTGAGGAAAGTATTCGGTTTATAAAAGGTAAGTGCTGGCCTGGCCGTAATCTAATTGAACTCATCACTTCATCCAGCCAAACTATGCGTGTTTGCTTCAACATTTCCGTGTGCTCTGGCTATTTTCAGCTGCTGAACAATGGAGCACATTGCTTATAGAGACAAGAGTCTCTAGTATCTTGTATCTTGCATCTTGCATCTTGCATCTTGTATCTATACGTCTACGAGTTTGTGTTTATTTATAGCCGTAGTTTATTTATGGAACTGCAAAAAAACTGTAGCGAAATGCAGCTGCAGCGCTCTTCAAATGGGGTCAATGGATTCCGGAGCCAAGTCGCAGCAGGAACACGAGCAAGACGGCTGGTCGAGCTGGACGAGCGGGGCACTTGGCCAGGGCAGCGCATTTATCAGTTAATTAATGACAATTACAAGACACTTGCAACTCGGCTAACATACTGCCCCAAAAAAAAGCAGCTACCCAACAAAGGTGCTCGTAATATAAGCAAACTGATGAAAGTCGAGTAAGAGTGCCAGAGTAATCAAAGACGGATGAACTAGATAATACCCCGTGCCCATAAACAACATTTATTTCATGTACAGCTCATTCATATGTACGTCAGAGTTTTTAAACATATTTCGTTCTTAAGTTGTCTGCATAAACAAATTTACGCTGAATAATAAAAGTTGTTTTTTAAATCATATTCTCTTCAACAATTCTTGTGGATTATTGATATAGATTATTTATGATTTCTCCTTGTTAAAATCTCGCATCTATATATTTCATTTCTTAACTAGAGCTCTCTATATCGTATAAGCCTCTATCAACTGCCGCTCAGCCTGGAAATGCAGACATTCTACAATGTGAAGCATTTATCACAGTCTCAATGTAAGAACACGAAATGTGTAATTAGGGATAAATAATTCAGATATATACAGCTAACAAATTAAACGCCAGCTGTTTGCTGCCAACTGGCGTTAAGAGAATTGCCGGCATTAAGTATACGCCAACGACATCAAGTATACGCAGCGTCTAACGAGCCAAGTAAACTAAGTGGCAGGCTGTGAACTTTTGCTTTTCTTTTCTTGTTTCTTGTGATTGCAGCCATGTCTGAGACTATAATTAGCGGTAGTTCGTGAGCGGCCTTGACAAATGTGCCAAAAACACAAACACGAAAATGAAAAGTAAACAAAAACTGTGGTCAGCCAAGTCAATAACCGCTTTAGATGCGGCATAGCAAGCATAGTATGTTGCCATTTGGCAATATTAATTGCTTGCAATTATATAATTTGAACCCGTACGCCGAAAACTTGACCGTTAAATTGCCAGATCGACCTTTGTCGGCATTCGCTTTTGATATCTAATATCTGAGTAATGAACCCAAGTGGAAATTTCTCTCGCTTTCCATTTTCCATTTGCAAATAATTGAGCAGCGACCCATCTGCGCAGCGGAGTAAACTCAAATTTAAATAAAAGCCCCATCAAATATTCAATTAAATGAGAGAAAGGTGCGTTGTCTTTTTTGTTTACTCTCTCTCTCTCCCTCTCGTTCCCTCTCTCTGTCTCTCTGGAGATCTAACACACTTTAAACTGTTCTGCCATTAGGCGAGTCACCTTGCCAGCTGAAGGACGCACTCAGCGTGCTGCGAAATGCATTTGTGTTGTTGGCGACTTAGCCTTAAACGTTACCTGTTTGCGACACCAAGGCCTAAAAACAAATGCATTTGCATGTTAACACTCTGGGCAATCCCCTTTCCACTCAGCCCCATTTGCTTCAATGCAAAATCAATAGACAAACACAAACAACAGCAACAGCTGGAGCTATGCAAAAGTGTTGTTAGCCTGTTTTTGATATTTTCAACGTGTGACGAGGAGGCAGAGGGGCGAGTTCGTGGGCGGAACAGATAACTGCAGGAAACTTGGCAAAAAACGTTTATTGTTTCCATGGCATGTGTGTGCGTGGGCGTGTGTGAAGAGTGGCAAGTGTGTGTTGTCCAGAAACTCTGTATTCGTTTCAGTTGCAGCTGCTCGTTTGCTAATGATTCGCTTTTGACCAGGCTAACAATAACTCAACTCTTGTTATGCACTAAGCTGCAAGAGCTTTGGCTTCAAGCTGATATACGATATGCAAAGAACACGGAATGTTTTTTAAATAACTTCCCTCTTCCCTGTTTTGCAACTGCAATCGAAATACACAAAGTTTATTAGCTCTTTAACACCCGCTCACCCTTTGTTCCCAATTCCCACAAGAGTTTTTATATAGCAATTTCTGCGAATTCTGACCATGTCGAATACTATGTATATGAAATAATTGCGTTGTTTTGGAAATGCTCTTATGAACGCGTTGCATATTGAGGAAATTGTATCTTTCTTTTTTATTAAGCCAACAATAGACAGAGGGCCGCATGACTGACTCGCTTGATAGAGTATAAAGAGAGTATATAATGGCTACGAAGTCCGTTGCTCATGTCATGTTTGCATGTTTGTTTGTTGTTTTTGTTATAATTATAAGTAATTTTCCGTCAACTTTTCCGTTACTTATGTTTATGCACGGGCATATATACTTTATATCTATAAGCTCTTATTTCATACATGTTTTTCCATAGCCTCCTGGGGCGTTTTCAACGAAACGAACTACTCATTGCGCCGCACACTGAAATCGTAAAAATACAATAAATCAAAAGCAGCTGTGAGTAGGGAAGTGGACAACTCGGACAACTCGGACAACATTGTTTTCGCCTCGGTCGCAGTCAGGGCCTGGATTACATATGCTTTATGTTCTTATTTTCAATGTAAATAAATATAAATATGTAAAATACTTCAGTGTGTAGGTATCGAGCAACCTGTGCCTTGGCATGATTCCATTTTCATTTTCATTTTCATTTTCATTTGTTGCTCTTTCTGGTAGTTTATTTTGACAGCTGTCATCGCCCGGCATGATATGTGGTTTATTGTTGTATGAATGTATTAACAAATAGTAAAACACTGCAACAATTCAATTAAAAGTGATATATGATATTTACAAGCCCATTTATTTCACATTCAAGCAGACTTAAAGCACTTTCAAAACGATTCGTGGAACTTGAGATGCGAAAGGCACTTCATTTTTTTTTTTTAATTATTAAAAATTTTAGAAAATATTTTAATAAATTTTAAATGTATTTAAAAAAATATTATTATATAATTTACTATTTGTTTAGGCTTTATATGAAGTAAAGATTAGGGATTACCCCGAAATGCTATTTAATTAGGTTTTTCTCTCCCTGCCAAATGTGGTTTACAGAGAAAACCCTTGATATCTACATGCTATTTATTATATTATGTTTATGCTTCGATAGATTGGGTTTTGCATGTTATTTGCTCCAGCCCCCAGTGGATAAGTTCAGCTAATTAAATTTGACTCGACCTCGACTTCAGCACCATGGCCAATTGATTACGAACTCCCCACTCAACCCGCTTTCACGACGTCACATAATAAATCAGCAAATCGGTATCGATATTGATATGGCGGCGTCATAAACGGGACCACGCTCATTGCCAAACAATGAACTGCGTATCTTATCTGATGTTGATGCACTGCATCAGTCATGGTCGAAATCAATAAAGCTTTGGCATACACCTACCTCCTTGTAGCGCATGGACAGGCTGCGGCAGATGCGCTTGTAGAAGGGCGCCATTTCGGTTGTTGCTTGGTTTTATTAGTTCTTTAAATTTGAAATCGGCGTAAATTTGTTTATTTAAGTCTTTGATAAGTCTTTTCAATACGTTGGCTATGATCTGGTTTCTTGGTTTGAATAGAAAGAACACACAGTTTATAGTTTACATTGCGGGCAACCTTTGAAGAGTTGTTCGCGGCACAAAAACACGCACTTAATTGAAGAAAAACTCAACGTTTTATATTTGATTGTTTCCTCTCGATTTTCCAGTTAAGAAGAACTTTCTGTTTTTTACGCAGTGGTTTTTTTATCGTATTTTTATAGATTGTTGCTTGGATGCTGTGCCAAGTGTATGTGTTGCTCTCTAGCGGATCGTAAACATATGAATGAGTCGATCCACCAGCGGTGCGAGGCTTTTTATGAGCTGCCACAAGGCGCAGCAACAAAGCAGAGAGATTGTGAGAGATAAGCGATAAAGAGAGATAGAGAGAGAGAGCGAGCAGAGGCGCGCGCAGCTCGAAGCGGAAATGAGGCACAAAGAGAACCATTCAGACAGACAGACGCATAGATATATATATAGAGAGAGAGCAGGAGAGAGAGAGAGTGTGCAGAGGGCAGGGGCTGGATCTACTTACTTGTTGGACAACGATTGTGGCACGCGGCTGCTTGCAGACAGCGGCTGCCTCTAAGGGATTGGCTGTCACGTTGATGGCGCCAGCACCCGAACCCGGGTGCTCCTCCAGTGCCTGCACCTGCGACTGTGACTGCGTCTTCGACTTGGACTTGCTCTTGAAGGAGCGCTTGCGCGTGGTATCTGTGGGACTGAGCGATGCGGAGGCCAAGGATTCGCTGCCCGGGCTGTGCATGTGCAGCACCTGCAGGTTGAGCGTCGAGTTGGAGCCATGCTTGGGTGGTATCTGCTCGAACTTGCTGGCAATGTCATCGAACTTGTTCAGCTCGGCGTAGGAGTGATCACTGGGCGAGGAGGAGGACTTGGCCTGGGGATAGAAAGCGTCCGATTGTGGCACATATTGTTGATTCTCCCGTATGGTTGTGTGTATTACGGAATCGGGTCGAATGCGCTTGGAGTTCTTGCGAGAGGGTGGCCGCTCCCGTTCCCGTTCCCGCTCCCGCTCCCGTTCATGGCTGAGCTGATGCTGCTGCTGCTGCTCCTGTTGTGAGAGCCGCGAGTACTGCTGAAAGATGTCCGCGCTCAGCTTACGCTCATAAACGGAACAATTCTCCGCCTCGTCCGAATCGCTGCTCGTGCTGGCCGTTGCCGAGCTGGGCGCAAAGCATTCCCGCTGGATGCGCTCATAGTCGAGCGCCTCCCGATCAAATGGGAACATGGTGCCGCCAGCGGCTGCATCGCGCAGGCAGCGCTCGCTGCTGCCGCTGGATGAGCTAGACGAATACTTGCGCTGCTGTGCAGCAGCTAGGGAAGAGGGCGACAGTTGCTGCTGCTGCTGCTGCTGGGATTGGCGTTGCTTTTGGTTTTGGCAGCTGCCGAAGAAGTTGCCGTCCTTCATTGTGGGCGGCGCCGAGTTGATCTTGGCTATGGCGCCAGTCGACACAGAGGGCGTGGTGCGTTTGCGTTCGCGCTTGGGACTCGTGCGGTTGCTGGATGAGGGCGAAACGCTGGGCGAGATGCGATTACGTGTGCTACCGCCGCCACCATTGGCATTGGCATTGGCAGTCATTGCATCGCGCTCCCTGGCGCGCAATTTCTTGTTGCGATTAACCGCACCGCGCTCGTCGTGCGCATCAGCAGCCTCTGCGGTGGCTGCACCACCCGCGTAGTAGGAGTTGCTTGGCCTGCGCGCCTGCTGTGCCTCCTCCTTGAAAGTGAAGTGACTGCGCGCCTTCTCGCTGGTGCGCGCTGACTTTGGTGATTGTGGCGGATCGAAGGTGAAGTGCTCACGTCCACGTGTGGGCGGTGGCGCCGTGCTGGGCTGACGCGACGACAGCAGCAGGGGTGTTGTCGATGACGGCTCTCCTGTCAATATGGACAAGCAGGACTCCTGGCTCTGGCGTGTGTGCGAGTGTGTGTGTGTGCGAGTGTGTGTGTGTGTGTGTATTTGTATGCAAATGAGTAAAGGGAATAGCAAGAGACAACAACAATCATTGGGGTGCTCACCTCAGTGCTGTCCTGTAGATTCATGTCGGGTCGCGGGGGATAGCGAGAGCAGCTCGTTAGTTCCAATTCAGTGCCGCCTGTCTCATGCTCCGAATCGATTTGGATGGCCGTCAGCAGAGGCTCCTCCAGTGAGCTGAATAACGGCTCGCTGGGGCCGGAATTGTCGCCTGGTGACAAAAGAACAAGCCAAATGCAAACCATTGTGATTAGTTGATTAATTAAAATGGCACTCAATCGATCAATCAATCAATCAATCAATCAATCAATAGTCGCTGCAAGTACCCACCCAGGTCCAGGGAATCGCAAGTCTCCGAGGTATCGGTGTGCGTAACATTCGTGATGAGTGTGCAGGCGGAGTCTGTGGACGTGTTGATGTTCGTATCTGGTATGGAGGCCGACGAGGTGCCCATGACCACTAGCTGTGCCAGAAATTCGATAGACAGTATTAGTTATGTTATCTCATATTTAATTTATTAACATTTTCCATTTTCACACTCTTTATTTTTTCGTTCTCTTAACTCACCTTGGGCACTCCAGAGACGCCCATGGCATGCATAGCCGTTGCACCGCTCACCGAGTTGTGGTAGGCGCTGGAGACGGCATTCATGGGCATGCTGTTGAGCGGTGTGGAGGAGGTGGATGAATTGATCTTGTTTTTGATGCTGCGGCCGCTCTTGAAGTACAGTCGACGTAGAGCCGTTGCCGTCGAGGAGCCCGAAGTGCTGAAGCCGTCGTTGTCTGAGCCGCTCGAATTGCTGCCGCCCGAGAGAATGCCTATGCCATTCAGCTGGGCAGCAGCACGCACCGCTGTGGGTGTTGAGGGCTTCGACGTGGACCTGGACGTGTTCGGGGACGTGAAGTTGGATTGAGCAGTATTCGCAGTGGACATTGGTGCAGTTGTGGGCGTGGTTCGCCCAGCAGGACGCGTTGTAGACACAGCTCGACTGTTAGGGCGTGGCGAGGCATTGGAACTGGAACTGGCCGTGGATTGCTTGGCAGCAGCTGCACTGCCTGCAGGTGCCTTTTCGCCGGACTGTTGGCCCAGCGCTAGAGCCATCATTGCCGCGGATCGAGTGCTCATATAGCAGCTGGGCAGCTGCTTGGCTTGGTTGTTGTTGTGGCTGCTGTTGTTGGCGGTGGTCTTTGTGGCCGTATCGTTGCCCTGTGTTCCATGTGCAAGGGCTATTGTCATGGCTAGCGATGAGAAAGAGTTCAGATGTTAAGATGAAGCGGCCAATGCGTGTGCCAAAATGTAATTTACTAGCTTAGATATTTTTATTAAGCTAAGTTCAAGTTATTATAAGTTTATTTTTATCTGGAAGTTGCTCTAACTGTGAAACACATCTTAATTAACTATATACCTACATAAGCCTTAGCACTTGTGATTTACTTAAGCTTTGCGCAAAGAGCTTTTATAAATGAAATTTTACAGACAGTTTCTGGGCTTACGTTAAGCTAGCTCAATTAGCTTAGCATGTTTAGTTAATTGAAGGTTACTTTGGGCAACTTTAAGCCAATGTCATTCAGTTCAGCATTGAGTTGGACTGCTTAGTTTCTAGAAGTTTAATTGCATTGTCTGATTATACGGGAATCGAGCTGTGAAAATCGCACGCTCTAAATCAACAAATAAAATCGATAAATCGTAGCGTGACACGCACCGTAATCCCCCAGACAGGTGTGTAACGGCACACACACACACACACACACACTAAATGACTCATATACTATTGGTAAGTAGGGTTGCGGATGGAGACGCTCTGCTTTCAGGGACTTTACCGTGGCGCTCGCGGAAACGCCGCCCCGCTGAATTCAACCTGTGCAATTTGGCACGTAAACAGCTTTGAGATTTCGAGGAAAGCAAAACAAAACAAAATAAAAACATTGAGCAGAGCAGAGCAGCGCAGAGCAGTGAGATAGATAATATCGTATAATCAAATTCCGCAAATAATTGAGTGGAAGATTCGTCTAACGAATGTCTGCATATAGCTTGAATGGATTTGGATATGGATATGGCTTTTGTTGATGTTTACCTCCAGCAGTGTATACACCTGAGCTGCTCAATGGCAACGTGGAAAAATGGCAAAATAGCTGAAAATAACAGTGTACGCAACTTGGACATTTCTGGCTGACGACACGCCCCCTGTTCGGTTGTCCGCCCACACCGGAAAACGAGTCAAAAGACTGTGACCCAAAAAAATCGCAACATGTCGAATCTTTTCATATGTCGCGCCCCGTTGGGAAAAAGCATTACAAGTCAACGCATACAGCATGCCTTCAGCTGTATTTACACAAAATGTCACCGAAAGTGTGTCAAGCGTTGTGGGGGGGATGCCAAAACATGTGCGTGCGGGCATGGGACATGCGAGTACAGTCAATAAAGAAAATCTGTCGGAAAATTGAGTTTACTTAAAGGCTAAAGCAGATGCTTACCTTGACCACGACTCCGGGAAGTTGGTGAAGCGCCCGTTTTATTTCTAGTCGTCGTTGGAGCTGCTGCTGTTGTTGCTGCTGCTGAGGGTGCAGCTGTTATAGGCGTTGTGGGCGTGGCATCGGGTGCGGGGCTGCTGTCACGAAAGATGGGGGAGCCGGGTGCATAGCGTTCAGGCTGAAAATACAGTTCAAGCAGCAAATAAGTCAGCAATGATAATACCAGCATAGCCCAGGCATAGAAGAACACGCCTTATCGGCAGTTGCCACCTGATAAGATATAGCAACTACCCAAAGCAATCTATTACTCTAAAAGACAAACAGCTCCACTGCTATTTTCTGTCAGCTTCAGTCATACTTCGGACCCAAAGCCGTTCACAGCTGTCTATAGCGAAAAGCAATTGAAGTGAAGACATCTCTCGAGATGCCCAAAGTTTCCCTCTTGTTGGCATTTTATGTCATTTGCCTGTCTCCATGCTTAACAAACGGTTTGTATATGTATTTGATGCTATCATAAGACTCACTCATATACATAGATATGTGTATGTGTTTCTTGTTTAGTGTATTCAATATCCACTTAACTAAATTAGCTGATTTTTATTACGAAACTTGTCTACTCGGTATTCAACATGACAGCTAGGAAAGAACAGGTAAATTCGAAAGATTTCTTCGCCTTCGCACGTTCCGCATGGGACCTCAACGCGATTCCAAGAACTTTGGCTGCTATACGTATTTCAAATATACTATATTTTAATATAGATGTTTTTAAGTATATGCAGTTGCGTCTATTAGCCATAAACATCGCTGTTTAAGCATGTCTGTATTTATACATACATATGTACATATATAATAACCCATCTCTAGTTCAGCTGTCGACGCCACTCTCCAGTGACCGCATTTAATTTATTGATTGCTACACAAAAGATGATAAACATAATTTCTCAAACCGCTCACTGTATAATACAATATTTTTAGCGCTCGCCTGACCGTGTGGCCAAAACACCTGAAACTTTTTGCAAATCAAAGTTTAGCCTAAAAATAAAATCATTTATATTCAGCATGTTGACGTAAGAAGTAAGCACGTATACTTAATATTAAGTATACGTTCGTTCTTGAAAAGGCAGTTAATAAATAAAACGTGTTCATATGGAAAATAGACTCTTTAATCAAAAAGCTGATATACTAAAATCAGTTATGCATTTTAGATAAGATTGTGAAGCAAATTTGAGCCGGGGCGATTTGAAATTTATATGAATCGTAGTCAAACGAAACATAAGCCAAAGCAAATATATAAATTATATGTATATATATAATATAATAAATGACAATTAAAACTTTCACAAATTTAATAAAATACTAATAAGGTAATAACTTAGCTTAAACTAACCTTATTTTAGGACCTAAACCGAACGCAATGAAAACTTCGGGGCTTGCAGCCCTGGCTTCAATATTTCCACTTGTTAAATGAGTATAAAAATGTTAGTGCATCTATAGTGCCACTATCATTATGTACTCAAAGTCAACTCTGATATGTCATATTTGCGCAACATTGTTTAACCATTTCAATTATTTGTCCACGAGTTCAATTGACGATGACTAACGACATTTATGAATTCTGATTTCAATCATAAAGCCATGGTTATCGACTGCAATTATTATGCATACCTTTGCAGTATGTAACTAATTGATTCAATCAAATTAATATCGGCCTTGACCCACTGTGCGTAGAGTTAATTTCCATCGTATTTGGGCGCTAGAATTTCGCACGAATGAATGATGAGTGTTTTATGACTGACTCGTGAATACGGGGAACTGAAGCGTGCCCGGTGCCAATTGAGTTCGTCTTATGCAGAAATCGCAGTGCAAATTTTATAAAAATAGTCCCGAAATTGTGATTTTCTTTTTATACACAGTTTTTACGATGAATTTGTGAATATGTAAAAGAGCCATTTAAAGAGCACAGCTCATTATGATGATTGCCCTCATGAGATGATATGAGATGATATGAGAGGCGATGAGGCGGGAGGAACAAGGTGCTGATGGAGGCGACTGCTTCAGCTGTGCCAGCTGTTAGACAATCGGTCGATGTAAAGGCACAGGGTCGTTTGGGGTCTGGGACCGAACCAAGAGCTGACGACTTTCAATGATGCCCTGCTAGAGGGTAGTCTAGCGTGTCCACTGCATAAGTTTTACTACTGAGTATACCTAGTTAATATGTGCTGATAAATTCATATTATTGATGAATATTTTGGCTTTAGCTATTGTTCGATTTGATCTTTAGGGTATTTCAATCGTCTAGAATTTGGTGCCCAACTGCGTCTTCTAATTTTTGACTATTTTCGTGTAGCGGCAAAGTCTCGTGTCGTGAAATCAGTTTTTACAATTTGTAGCTTTTGGCTGTGCCTGTGGCTATTCTTGTTACACGTTTGTTGTTGCCTATTGACGTCATTGTTATTACACAAAAACGCATAGAGTGTGTAGAGCATATGTGGATAGATACATGTCGAGGACGCTGTCGTGCCACTTGGCAAATAGACAGAAAGTCTGTTGCCAAAATTCTCACTTTAATGCAATTAATTTGAATAAAAGCAGATTTTGTGTTTTTATTTAGATTTCTCGTGTGTTTTGTTGCTTCAGTTGTTGTGTTGCGTTCGCTATAAATAAATTCTAAGAAAAGCACAACAACATCATGATCACGATCCGCGTTGTCATCATCAGTTCTATCATCGTCAGTCACAGAAAGCGAAAGGCAACGTCATGACCTCGTTCAATATTTTTGTGAGATGCGTATTTTTATAGTTTTTACAGTTTCTATATAGTTTTATTTATGGACTTTTCGATTTGCAGCTCTCGAGTGCTACGTCTGCAGCTACCTGCTCGGCCAGAGCGATACCACCTGCCTAACGAATGCCACCGCTGTGCGCGCCCTCAACTGCACCAAGAAGTACTGCCTTACAATGCGGCAAGAATCGATTGTGAGTATCATACAAAGTCGTGGCAAGTGGCGACCACGTTGCCGCCCAGCAGTCATAATCATGCTACCAGCTAGACCAGCTAGACTCGTATATTCTCAACTTAACTCCTTTTAGCCACAGCTGGCTGATTGCCTTGCTACAAAGTAGCAGCTGCACCCGAGTCGTCAATTTCTGCTGTTTCTATTTCTCTTATTTGAGTATACATGCATATGTATGTCTATGGAGCAGTAGCAAGTTTGGTGGCGCAACTTTGTATCGAAGTGTGGCAAGAAATGAAAGTTTTTGCTCAAAAAATTAGCAAGACTCACGTATCAAGCGAAGCTTTTAAACAAGGCTCTTGCATACACACACGCACACTCGCACACACACACACACTCGCACACACTCTGGAAAAGTAATTGAATATATGATGGGCAGTGGGCACATGTGGCGTATGAGTAACAAGTGCCAGGGACTCGCATCATTTTGAGTGTCATTTTAAATTACATTTATGTGCACTTCCCTCTACCAGCTGTAGGACCTTTCTGCCAAACGTGTAAAAAGAGAGTAAATTAACTAAGTTAGAATAAATATATTAAATGGAAACACAAAGTGCAAAACTTAAGAAGCATGCTTATTGTGACTCTTGGGAACTCTTCTCAAGTTAATGTCGAAATTTAGCTTTAAACTTTAAACTAATTGTTTTTGAGTCTTAGGCAAGCTCCAGTCTTATTACAGAAGTTTTTAAAACTAGTTTGGGAATGAACTTTTGCCACGCAACAAAAACCATTCAGTTAAGTTTCAACGGCAAATACATGCTGCGCTTGCCATGGCCATAAGACGAAAAGCTGCAATTGGCAATAAAACTTGACGTACAAATGCTTAAGTCAAGTGTACTGCGTGTAGCTGTGATTCTGATGCTGATGAAGTGCTCGACTCGGCTGGGCTGGCTGGGAAAATTACGCACTTGTTCACATATTCGGCAGCTGGGAGATGTCAAGAACTGTCGATTGTTCTAACGCTGGAATGCAAATAATAATAGAATTGGGGTTTTTTGTTGACATTGAGGCTTTTGTGCTTTAATTTGCACAGTCACAGCCACAGCCGAAAATCAAACAAAAAGGCTACGACCGAAAGTGGAGTGCATAAAAAGTCCATTACCATAATTTAATGGAAAGCCAGAAAGGCGTATAAAAGCCACTAAAGCCGCTTCAAGCTGTGGGACAGAGAGAGAGAGAGGGAGAGAGGGAGAGAGACACTACATCATAGCCTACGCAGCTGCTAACCCTTACTCCTCCTTAATATGGGAGGCTTTAACTTTGTCTTCTATCTGCTAGCGTCACACACTTGTGAAACAGCCTCACCCACGCCATAAATATATGTATTTCTTTTTTACAATGAGTTGGATAAACATTTTGCCAGCGCTTCATTAGTCGGCAAGCCTTGAACTCTTTGTTATTGAATTTGCTGGATCAAAGAAGCATTGAGCCAGCGGGAAATGAACTAAAAGTTACAAAGAGCTGCAGCATCTGCTGCTTCTCACTATCCAGACAAATGCTTCATTGATGCTCTCGCATAATGCAATTAAAACTTCATCTTCATTCGGCCTGCCCTAATGATGAATACAAATTAAGTGAAGCTGTGAAGCTCTGAAGCTGTGACGTCACAGTCAACAAGAACTCGTAGCAGCTAGCAGCTTTTATAGTTCATAGCAAGAAAATGGTATGTTTTGATTACACATAATCAAATTTGATATCAAAAGCTGAATGATGCCTGAGTTTAAGGTCCTCAAACATTAAGATATTGCTTCGATATATCAGGATAGACAAATGTGAAACCGCAGCTAAACAAACTTTGGCTATTAGTTCTGAATGTCTTTGGGAATATTTTGAAAAATTTGCTGAAGTAACTTTTTGTTGTGCTCCGTCCTTAATTTTGTTTTTTGTCTCTCTTCATACATGTGTCGCCTGCAGCATAATGGGAACAAAGTCATTTCCTTTCTACGTGACTGCCAGGATAAGCCGGTGGTGAGTACGAAGGGGCGGCTCTGAAAGGGAGATCAACTGCCAGACAGATTGCGCCTGGGGCACAAATAAAATTTACGCACATTGCAGATCCTGAATGGAGTTAAATCGGACTCCTCGTTTCGCACCTACTACCGCTCCTGCCAGCAGAATCTGTGCAATGGCCACAACGGACGCGGCTACAACTCGAGTGGCAGCTTCACCATCGCTGGTGGTGGTGGCTCGGCCGGAGCCGGTGGTGGCAATCACAATGCCATTATACCTGGCAAAAATGGCAGCCTCGGTGCAGGAGACGACATATCTAGGCTGGTGTTGGTGCTGGCGCTGCTGCGGGTGCTGGTGTGGCTGCTCGGTGACTGTAATTAGCATAAAATGGATGCTTTGCAGTATGACAAAAAAAGGACAAGCCAGATTCTAATCCTAATGTCTGCCAGAGATGAAAATAAAATGCCGCCAGCAGCCAATTAAAACGCGTTTAGCTGCTGTCTGGGCACTTGGTTGAGCCTGTGGGTAGGCTGGCTCCGCGTCCATTGCAAGACTCTAGACAGTTGAGGAGGTCATCGGGCTGTAGCCTCCTCAACTAAACTTCCGCGTAGCGGACACATGTTGACCGCAATTCAAAAATGTGGGCGGGGCAGACACGGCTCGGGGGCCTTCAATTGCCAGCTCATTAAAATAAAATTAAATACGCGTTAAAAGCTAACATAAATTCCAGCTAATGGCCATATTTTTGGTCTCTGTCATGATTCGACGACATTTTTATGTTAATTTCTAGCGAGCCAAACAAAAACAACATTCGACCAGCTGCAAAGATTTCAAGTACACAAATGCCATGCTGGCAGGTGAAAACAAAAATAAAGACAGCTCAACAACAAATATATATCCTTTTAATTGCCCCCCAAACAGCGCTCTCTATCTACCCTCGATTCATTGTTGATTAAGAAGTAAGCTCAAGCCTCAGCTGAGATGAACTTCAGAGCTCTAGACTCAAGAGCACTCAACTGAGCAAATAGGTACATGAACTCTATATAGTCTCCCATGGCTCATTAGACTACTTAGGCAGAGAGAGATAGAGAGAGAGAGAGAGATAAGAGAGAGCGAGAGCAGGAGAGGCAACGTGCGAGAGGCTGCTGAAGGATTTAGTGCTGTATTTTCTTTTCTACTTTAACAAAGTTAATTGAAATGCTGCAGAAAATACGTTTAGTAATTGAAATCGATTAAAAACTAGGGCACGCTAACAACTTTATAGGGGCTTTTCTTCCATAGAGAAAAATAAGGAAAACTTGTGTGTGTGTGTGTGTGTGTGTGTTGACTTAACGCATTAAAGTTTCCATGAGTTAAATTGTAACATGCTTGTCACTTGCCGTTGTCGCTGACATTTGACGTTGCTTTTGCTTTGCTTTTGCTCCCTTGACATGCTTTTGGCGCTTTGGATATACACGAAAAATGTTTGCATGGCAAACAAATCGCTGTGTTAGCCTTACCTCCTCCTACTCCCCCCCTATCACTCTCTCCCCTCCATCTCCTTCTCTGCGTATGTCATTCGCGAGAGCAGAGAAAACACGTCGCGCGACACGCCCCATTCCTGTTTTTTATTTAGTTTTCTTTTTTTAAATTTTATTTGAATTCGGACAGCAATTACAATTTGAGATTGAAAATGGCCAGCAGCGGGCGTCACATAAAATTTCCGATTTTCCAATCAAAAAACTAACATTTCGACGCATCTCTTCAAACTAGATAGATCTGAGCCAATTAGAGCAACTCTATGAATAAACCAAATTTGCCCATCAATATCGAATGTCCTAATATGTGCGCAGTATGAAGAGATTCAATCATCTAATCAATCAAACTCGCATTGAGTACATAGAATATACCATCAATAGCAATTGGCTATAATTATTTGTTATTATTGGCTCAGTCAAGGACCAGACAAGCCGCCCAGAGTTAAACAATATGCGATTATAGTATTTAATTTTGTTTTTCATTTATTTTTGTGGCCCCAATATATGATTGAATCACACCTCAGATGCCACAACGCTTAAGTATACACACGCCCAATAATTATTCCCAAATTATGAACAGAGAGACATAAAGGTGCAAGTGTCTGGCAAGAGTCGATTTCATTTTATTGAGGAAGCCATTCACGTTTAACAAATATTATCTTGTTCCCAATCCCAAGAGATGGCCACGACAATTCAAAACACGGGAATGTTCCCGAAAATGTTCTGCTGAAGATGCGAAAATGACGGCTGCCACACAATAAAAAAGGCAATCGAAAGGGAGAAAAGAGATGAATTAACAATGAGAGTTTGGTATGTCATAACTTACTGAAAAATAAATGATGTGGAAACAAGTTATATCATATGTATAGAGTGTGAAAATAATTAATAATAAATATTTATAGAGCTGGTCACAATTTCACACGTTAACACGTTAAGCTTTCAAGTAGTAAACAATTTGTTCAAATATTTCATTTAAATTTCTTCTAGAAGAGTAGCCTTTCTGGGAAGAATATTGATAAAGTATCAAAGAGCAGAGCTATCATCAGTCCAATTTAGCCACTTAAAACATCATTAAAATTAAAATTCAGAGTTGATTATATTCTTAAAACTTTAAAAGAAGTGACAATTGACTGATAACTGACACAAAATAAGGCGCTGTACGAAAATTACAATTCATTTGCCAAACGACCAGCTCCTGATATGAAAATTGTTATAGTCTTTGCTGCGGCTATGGCTATGTCCCTTAGGCGCATTACGAATGGACTACAGACTGACCAATTTCCCTACCATGTGAGAGTCGGCCAGCATTAGGAAAACCTATTTCTGTGGCGGCTCACTACGCAGATAAGTAAGTAAATGGAATGTGATTAAAGATTCGCTCGGATAGCTTATAGATATGCCCATAGCAGTGCCTCCAGTGTGGTTATCTCGGCTCTACAAACAGCAACACGTCTAAGCTTGAACAGCTGGCGATGAGTACACAATTGGTGTAGCATCTGGACTAAGGTGCCAGGCCGCTCAACAACGATATTGCATTAATCAATGTCTCTGCGATTGCCCAGAGAGCTGCCAGCCATAGCCAGCAGTTATTCTTCTGATGCTGGCCAGCTGGCCATAGCCTATGGGCTTGACCTCTCAATGGAACTTTGACATGGCGGACTCGTTGCAATATGGCAGCTTTGAGATAATAGCTGTGACTGCATGCCAGCGTTTCTACGGCGATGTGTCAACAGGAAATCAACGTTTAGCATGGACTCGGCTGGTTCATTGAGCAGCGGGCAGTAGACTGGAGTCACCTCTTTTTCAGCAGCTACGGCTGCGGGTTTGGGCAATGCTTGAGTCACCAGTTATCTGGACTGGATCAAGGATATATTCTCTGCTCAAAATAACTCAGTCAGAGACTGAATCATGGACTTTAAGCCAGTTTGAGTTTAACAAGTGAAATATTCAAGACAAATTTTTCGCAACATTTGCTGTACTTTTTCTTAAGACGTACAGCCCTGCCTCTCTTGGGGGCAGAACGCAATTGTGTGGCAAGTCGGAGACTTTAGCTGTCTGGCTTGAAGAAGGTGTGTGTGCCACATTATAAATTTACTTCGTTTGTCTTTCGTTGCTGCGGCCACCCAGATATTAATGGTTGGGGCTGACAGTTTTGTATGCCACGAGAGATATTACAAGTCAACAGCGGGTTGGGGCCGGATCGGGTCGGGTCGGGTCGGGTATGGGGCAGGGAATTGCGTTCAATGACTGCGTCGACATTATTTCCATTATACCCATTTAGTTGTCGCTGCGTGCACTAAACTTATCCATTGACGACAGCAATTTGTGGTCCTGTGGCGCGGCAGGGACAGCCCGCGGGAACAGACGGACATTAGTTGGCTCAGTTTAATGCCCAATTGGCATTACAATGGCTGCTCCCGCAATTGAATTGGCTGCTTGCAGTACATTGAACCTGCATGTCCAGAACTCGATTGGCATTTCTCAACGTCGCAACGTCTCAGTTTCTGCCTTCGCCCGTCTGTGTCTGGTGCCCCTCGGGGGCGCCATTTGTACCGGAAACTATGCAAGCATTTTCCCAGCTATTTGTACGGGACGACGCGTGCTGCCTCCCCTAGGTCGATGAAGTCATACTCATTATTAATGCACACACCTTGAAGGTATTGGCTAGACACACAGGTCCCTCGGTGTCGCCCCCGCCGAAAATAAATGCAATTTATTGCTGCCCATTTGCCAAAAAGGAAAACACGAATTCAGAGCGAACTTTCGCCAAAAAATAAAAAGGAAAATATCGAAAAGAGGGAAGACAGCTTGCAAATTGCACAATCGCAGTGCATGTGTTATAAATTTAAAGAATATAAAAAAACAAAAATCAACAAAATAATAAAAGAAAATTAAAAATCGAGCAAGTCAGCGACAGCAACAACAAAGTAAAGGCAACAACAAAAGGCAAACTCAAAGAAGGCGGAACATCCGACTAAAAGTCGCGTGATTTATGCACAGACAGAGCCACGCCCCACCTGCCCCAGCCCCTCCAACAGCTATCGGTGGGTGTGAACAGTGCAGCCCAAGAGGCACGTCTGCAATCGAATCTAGCATCTTATAGAATCTTCTTAAAGCGTAATGAATTAAACGATTATGACCGAAATGAATCCGATACACAATGAATTCGTGGGAAAACGCAAGATCATCATCGGCATATTTATAGAGAACTATGCTGTGAAGTCTGAAGGATATCTATTTAAATTAATGACTTTGCCCACATATAAACACAGCCATTGTTTTTGACCTTTGTAAAATAATTAGACAGCTCACAAATTGTACTGTTTAGCACCCGGCGAGTGGAATTTTGTTGTTCTTATTCTTAAATATAGATATAAATATATAAAAAAATGCTGTGAAGAATTTTTATTTTCATTCGGTTTGAGCACTCACCACTCATTTCTTACACAATTATTAATTAGCCACTTTTTTCGGCCAGTGTATTAATTATTGATGAATTTTCTGACCTATATTTATGGAACGAAAAATCAAAGTGGCAACGACAACGTCACTTTAGATGTTTGCCGCTTAAATTAAGCGTAAAATTTAGCCTGACAAACGGGCAATGCGCCAGCATACATTAAATCTTACGAAAGATCTACACCTCCTACTCCTCCTCCTCCCTCGAACACACCTTTTGCAGCCGCAGAGGCGCCTATGAAGTGCACCAAAGGGGCTCATAGACAGGCAGCCGCAATCTGTGCGCCACTGACAGCATTTGGCAAAGCGCTTTGAGTAGATGACGTCAAACCTAAAAAAAAGATGAACCGACGTCCACCGATTTGTGTGTAGACGTAACTCTCGGGCACACTTTTGCGTTATTTTTGTTGAACTGGTCACGAAACAGATACCGAGACCCGGTCCCAGTCCCTGTCCCCAGTCACCAGACAAAGTGCGTTGGTCTACGCTGGGCGGCACTCCAGGAAATCCCAATGAATCACTTGACAAACCGACAAGACTCAATGTTTTTTCGGAGGGGATTTGTACGAGTCGCCCACTGGGAAGGCTGTGTAAACAAAAGTCACTCAGGTTTCATGAGCTTTACGCGATTTATGATGGTCGAAAAACTGAAAGACGTCTGAAAATGCCTGGAATGCCACAAATGTTGACGAGCATTAAGATTAAGTTGGTGTCTAGGCGACACATGACAGCGACTAGAACCACATATATCTCAAAGGAATCATCTGTCTATCGAGTGGAAGTTAGGAATGCATTTCAAAGGTTGATAGCCTTAATTGACCACAAAGATGCCAATATATTTGAATGTATTCCCACAATTATTCACACAAATATATATTCATTTAAATATATTCATTTCTGATGATGTTGACAATCAATTAATTTCACATATGCCCACAACAAAAGCAACTGTCGGCGCAGCCTTATGTCTGTGGTAATTGTTTTTAATGTTAATTGAGAAATATAAAGAAATACAAATAAATAAAATGCGATACATTTAAAAATGTTTTTAAAGTAGCTCAAGTCATTTCGATTTCACTTATGCCATAAGTTCCCTATCACTCTGAGTGCCTGCTCCCTGCTGCTCCCGCCCGCACTATATGACGTCAGCGATGGACAGACGCACAGCATCCGTGTCGCACGAATTCCAATAGCGTGAGTATCTTTCCCGCCTGCTTAGCATCTCCATTCCAAAATGCTCGCTGAGGCAATGCACAGTGCACAGTTCATTGACATGGCCATAAATTCGTTTTTGTCGCCACGGAAATAGTTTTACGGCTCTGCTTTCCTTGCCATTGCAAAACTTGGCCATACAAACAAAATGAAATTTGTTTAGCTCTGCTTCTGCTTATACAAAATGAAAAGTAGTTGCCAAATAATGGAGCTGAGAGGCTCCAATGATAGCAATAACAAGACTTTTTTTAATATTAATGAAAGCTCAGCCATTTGCTCTGTTGATGCCACAGAGTCGAGTGTTTAGAGTGTCCCCAGTGGGCTAGCAAAAACAGAACTATGGCAATTGATGCTTTTTATGGCTTGCTCTCAAATGCATGCCTTCACTCGGTGCCATTGTGACAAATTGATATACATTGCTTGTGGCAACTTGTGGCTTTTTGCATTCGAGTTAATTAAAGTGCACTCACAATGGCAAGTGAGCAACGGCATTGTGAGCCCCGGCCCGCAATTAAAGCTAAAGCGCGCCATCAAAGCCCGAAACTGTTTCGCCCGAACATTGAGAATCCTGTCAACAAAATATTGTTTATACGCAATATGTGCACGTTGTGCTCACAAAAGGAGGTTAACCAATTTGTTCGGGCTAAATGAAAAACATTTGCTTCTTCACAAATGAATTTCCGTATTTCGCCTGGCCGTCGTCGCACCGTCCCGCCTTCGGGCGTATTTTCAGAAACATATTTTGAAAATCACGCAACGCATGTTGTAAACAATATTTTCGGACTCTTTAAACTGAGCCAATGCAACGCGTAGGCGTGGCACGCCAGCAACTTTAATATGCAATGCAACAGTATTTTAATGAGCGGCAGAGCCAAAAATAAATTGCACATAAATATGTTCTATGCTGCTGACAACTGAGATGAAAATGGAAATGAAAATAACGAAATTAAATGAAAATAAATGAAAATTGTTGGCAAAAATAAATTGTGAATTGCGAATTCTGGTCAGTTCGGGCGTGGGCCGATGGCCAAACATTGCAAGGAGTCAATGCGCTCATTAGCCCAGGCCAAATGGCCATAAATCAACGGCATTAGAAGAGTGTCAGAGCGCCAGGGCAGCCGCTACTCAATTGCAATTGGCCAAGCTAAGCAAGTGCGACAATTGTCACAGATTTCGCCCAGCGGAAGTTCACGGGCGTCTAGCCTCGCAGTCTGTGCAAACAACTTGAAGGATTTATCGTAATGGATTATCTCTGGCTAATTGACGTTTGAATACTTGCGCCTGTCACGGATGTACACGCATTTTGGCCGACGGGAGGCCCTGTTCTTGGCCGGTGGCAAAAACTAAGCAGCCATGAAAATTGCCAATTGAAGCGATTTATCAATTTTTGGCAACACAACTAATCATTTTTGTCATTGGCAAGGACATATTTCAGCCAAGTGCGTTAAACCTAAGCGAAAAACGTTTTTCCCTTTCAGCAATCGCTCTGTTGGCAACTTCGAATATCCAGCAAGTATCTATATAAATAAAATATTATATAAAATAAAGTGCTTTGAGCTAAACTGAAATCAATATTTCAATAGCTTTCAGCTCTGAGCTCTCCATTATTGGCAACCAACAGCCATTTTTGCTCTCTTACAATTTTAAGCGCTTATTTAATTTAATTTATCTGCCAGCTCAGTGCTGATTCCTTTTACTGATTGTCAACGGAATTTGCCGCTGCTTTATATATATATATAGATAGATACTTAATGTATCAATAAGTCCGCTATTAGAAATCATATTGTGCAGAGGTTTCTTTTGCAGTCATTTTCAATTATGCTCAGCCTAAAAGTATGCTGGGATTTTGCCCGCATAAGCTATTCAGCTATTATCTATTACGAATGGCTACAGAGCGTTTTCCAACACTTCTTCGGTTAAATTGGCTTTGGTAGCAAAGTAGGCGACTGTTGTGCCAAAGCACATGACTTGTTAAAGAGCAGCATTTGTGGAAAATCATTCTTTCACAAATTTTCGCAGTGAACAGAGCAGAGCTCTTGGAAGTAGAAAATAAAAAAAGTATAAATTAAATTCCTCTCACTGAGTCGTTGTGTCGAGCAATCTTTGGTTTTTCGCATTTCCATCCCCGTGTGCAACTCTGTTCTCATTAAAGTGTAACTGTAATTTTTAGTCACAAGATTACAAAATGGTTCCAGTTACCAAGCCGAACACCAAGGAGGTGCAGTGCCAGCTCGCGGCATGTGACGAGACCAAGCCGCAGCCGGAGCCGGTCGTCACCCCGAAGAGCGGCCGCGTGGGCATCTTCAATGCGGAAGATTTTTTGTCCCGTGCCCAGATGAACGATAAGATCAACAACATCCTTCGCTCGCCCAACAAGGCTCCAAATGGCGTGCGTCAACGCTCGGTGTACACCAACAACAACCCATCGCCGGTAAGTTCTGTCCCTGTCTGTCAATGTCCGTCTAACGGTGTGAGAGTATCCTATTCAAAATTGAGGTTAGAATAATGAGTTTTTTAAGCTCAGTTATTAATGTTTTCCGAAATATATCTAAATTAGAGAAGTTATTCAATAATGTATAACTAATATGCAGCAGTCGTCGGTTCGTTTGCCCAGTTCGGCGTTGTCGCTGTCGGCTCGTATGAGCAGCATGTCGCTGAACAGCGGCAGCGCCAGTGTGGGCACCAATACTTCTGTGCTGGCTAAGGAATGCTCTAGCCAAACGAATGCCATAGGTGCTTCTGGTTCCTATCGATCCATTGGAATGAGCATGCACCAGTCGCAGCCATTGCTCACCGCAGTTGCAGATTTGGAGCCTCTAGTGCTGAGCACCAAGTCGTTGACTGCTCGTTTCGCAGGGCCGTTTGGGTTTGATAATGGCGGTGCTTACTGTCAGGTAAATAACTACCAGTAACTATCTATAATGGTATAGGACCATATGTTAACAATAATGCCCCATTAGCCACAACCTCAACCACCAATGCACCACACTCAGCAGTACCCGTCGCCTATGCCGCCCCCTCCTCATGCCTTGGGTCGCGTTAGCTCGCGCACTTTTGAGTTTGAGAATAATCCACCACCGCCGCCGCCATGTCCTGGCTCTGGACCGATTGCCATGTCAAATGGCACCATTCAGTTGCGCCTGCGCGAAGGAGTTAGGTGGGTATCTAGATCAGTTGATCTGCAGCGCAATGAGATATGATATATTCCTCCGAGTACAGAATCGATATGACTCTGGACAAGGCAGTGCGCGTCTTGAATCAGCGCAGCATGGTGGCTGTCTCTTTGTCGCGCAATGGCACGAACTCTGCTCTAATCCATCCCAATGGCCGTATTCTACAGAGCGGCTCCAAGGTGGAAATCGTGACATATGACGGCATGAAGGCCAACAACTTTGTGTGAGTTACTAAGGATCATTATTGTAGGAACTATTTAAGCGTATCTCGTTGGCGTTACAGGCGCTATGCCAAGATGTGGTACAAGGGTGTGAGCTTCACTAGTGAGTCTTGCGCTTTAATTTATCTGGTTGACACCGCTGGAACACGCACCACAACCGACACATTCACTGACCTAACCAAGGACTACACTCTGGCAGTGTTTTACGAGTAAGTATCGAATCGAATCAGATTCTGGGCATATTTCATTCCTACTAAACACCCGCAACACTTTCAACAGCGACTCACGCCACGGTCCCTCTTTTGTGCCGGATGCACAGGAGGTAATTGCAAAGTCATTATACAGTTGCGCAGACGACGGCACCGAGATGTACGACATCAATGGATTTCGCATTATTCAGGCCGCCGATGGCCTGGTGAAGGTGACTCGCCAACACAACAAGGGGCTCATTCGCACCAGCCCTGGCAATGGATCGGTCACTCTAACCACTCTGGGCATCCACTGCACCGCCTCCTTGGGCAAGACCTCGCATCTGTTTTTACGGTAGGTATCCACTCTTAGCCACATTCCCTGTAATTATAATTTTGTTTCTCTTGCCTTGCAGTCGCAATGAAAAGCGCATGCACTTCGATGGATCCAATTTTATAGTGCGCAATGCAGGACACTCGGCGGGATTCAACGAGAACAACCTGCTGATTGTGTACTAACTTACTCCAACTTAGTTATAAGACACAAACACAAACAGACATCTTATAAAGTTTTTACTGGCCGCTGGGCTGCCGTAGAGTGGAGAATGAAAATTACTAAAAATTGTATACATCAAAGAAAAGGCAAAAAAAAAAACAAAACTAGAAATAAGGCTCAAATAAGGCGTGAGAAACGGGAAAGACATTCGATCACAACGTCGGAAATATCAAACTATTGTTTGGGCGAAACTCGAATGTCTTTCGGTACTCGACGTAAGCGCAGCGCTACTAAAAAGGAATTTGTTTTTAGTTATCTTTACATACTCGACCTTTTTGATATCAGTGAAAATTTAGTAAACAAAAAATATCGGGGCAAGTGTCCACTGCCCTGCCTACTACTTGAACACGCTGACCATTTTGGCCAATCGGAAAGGGTCGGCGTTTGTTTTTAAGGCTAATTTCGGCATAAGACTTTTCTTCAAGCAAATTTCTACAATATTTTACAATTTATACGAAAAATGAAAAAAAAACACATTACATATATTGAGAAAGCCTTAAAAATTGTCCACATGCATCAAAATTAGAAACACTAAGCCATGGCGATATGTGTATGTGCAACAATTAGTAGGCAGTGGTCTGAAGAGGTGGTCCGATCCCTCGGGATGTTAGTCTGAACGGAAGACAGCGATGTTACTTGTTACGGTTAAGATTAGTTCATAGGTCCTGTGACTGTCCTACCATGTTCATACACACTGACACTGACACCGACACCGACACCGACACATCAAAGTGAAATAATGTTACACTCTGAATTTTGCAAATTCAAAGTGAACGAGCAACCGACACACAACGAATACCACATACACAAGCTACCCAATGAAAAGTGAGATATTATTAAATACATGTTGATAGAAAATTTTTCAGCGTTGACAAAAACTACACAATACGTCATTATATAATATATGTATATACATATTCAAACATATACATATGTATATATATATAATATATTTCTGGTCTATGTGATTTACATCTGTCGCTTGGAAGCTTTGAGATTTGCGAGCCTCACGACGATCTCTCATCTCACACACACCCAAAATTCAAGAGCATGTATTACAAAATTAATGTATGAAAATAAAAACAGATGCTTAAATTAAACCACTTTGTTTGCTACTTTATTAAAGAGATGTTATTAAAACAATTGTGAGACTTCAGGGGATTTCTCGGCGTGAAGGCACACAAGTTATTTTGAAGTTCTAACGATGACTTGGAGGTATTTTTTAGTGGGTATTTTTACGGCAATAGTATTTTCTGTGGTGTTACAGTATGGTTAAGGAGCTGGCCACACCTACAAATATAAATTATTTCGGTTTGACTAATTGAGCAAAACCATTTTTGCTCAACTCTTAAAATTGAACTATTTTCATCTGTGTGAATATGAGTTATAAAAAATGCACGCGGCCCACAAAAAACTTTATAGTGTTGGTAAAGTAAATGCGTTTTCCAACACATATTGGGTTAGGTTTCTTTTGTAGCAAAGTAGGCGACGGTTATCCCGATGAAAAGATGACTAGCCAAAGAACAGCATCAGAGGAAAGTCATTCTTTCACAAATTTTCGCAGTGAGCAGAGCTCTTGAAAGTAGAAAATAAAAAAAGTAAAAATTAAATTCCTCTCTCTGAGTCGTTGTGTCGAGCAATCTTTGGTTTTTCGCATTCCTATCCCCGCGTGCAACTCCGTTCCCATTAAAGTGTAACTGTAATTTTAGTCACAAGCATACATCGAACGAAGTAAGAAATGGTTCCAGTTACCAAGCCGAACACCAAGGAGGTGCAGTGCCAGCTTGCAGCATGCGACGAGACCAAGCCGCAGCCAGAGCCCGTTGTTACACCGAAGAGCGGCCGTGTGGGCATCTTCAATGCGGAAGATTTTTTGTCCCGTGCCCAGACGAATGACAAGATCAACAACATCTTGCGCTCGCCCACCAAAGCCCCCAATGGCGTGCGCCAACGCTCAGTGTACACCAACAACAACCCATCACCGGTAAGTCCTACACAGAGAATTATTTTCTTTCAGCTGTCCTGGGTCGACTTTTTTTCTTTGACTGTTTCTATAAGTCAATTGAAAACTTGGGCTGAGTTTTTTTACATGTTTGTCCTGGCTTTTGGAATTCGGAGTATGTGTACCGTCCCACTGGGGCATGGCAAAACGGCGATTACTGTTGCAGCTGGAGTTCACGCATTTAAAATATCTCGCTGACAGAAACAAATGTCAAGCTTATATGCCTAAGTCTACTGGGAGTTTGACAGCGACATAAATTTGACAAATATGTGGTGTTCAAGGCTGTTGATAGCTTCAAGGTGAATTTTATAGATAGATCTAGCCTTGATTCCTAATGAATTCAGCTATTTTTAGAACGCGATTTCATAAAGATATGTTTTAGTAGACCATCAAAATAAATATTCCAAGATTAGATATTGTAGACCATGATTTGACACGGGCATCTAGAGTTTTGAATAGTCAGCTAAAGTTCGTCTTGTTAAAGACTCTGAAAATATGCAATATATTTACATACATTAGTTGAAATATATATATATATATATAAGTAATTCAATTTGCAGCAGTCGTCAGTTCGTTTGCCCAGTTCGGCGTTGTCGCTGTCGGCTCGTATGAGCAGCATGTCGCTGAACAGCGGCAGCGCCAGTGTGGGCACCAATACTTCTGTGCTGGCTAAGGAATGCTCTAGCCAAACGAATGCCATAGGTGCTTCTGGTTCCTATCGATCCATTGGAATGAGCATGCACCAGTCGCAACCATTGCTCACCGCAGTTGCAGATTTGGAGCCTCTAGTGCTGAGCACCAAGTCGTTGACTGCTCGTTTCGCAGGGCCGTTTGGGTTTGATAATGGCGGTGCTTACTGTCAGGTAAATAACTACCAGTAACTATCTATAATGGTATAGGACCATATGTTAACAATAATGCCCCATTAGCCACAACCTCAACCACCAATGCACCACACTCAGCAGTACCCGTCGCCTATGCCGCCCCCTCCTCATGCCTTGGGTCGCGTTAGCTCGCGCACTTTTGAGTTTGAGAATAATCCACCACCGCCGCCGCCATGTCCTGGCTCTGGACCGATTGCCATGTCAAATGGCACCATTCAGTTGCGCCTGCGCGAAGGAGTTAGGTGGGTATCTAGATCAGTTGATCTGCAGCGCAATGAGATATGATATATTCCTCCGAGTACAGAATCGATATGACTCTGGACAAGGCAGTGCGCGTCTTGAATCAGCGCAGCATGGTGGCTGTCTCTTTGTCGCGCAATGGCACGAACTCTGCTCTAATCCATCCCAATGGCCGTATTCTACAGAGCGGCTCCAAGGTGGAAATCGTGACATATGACGGCATGAAGGCCAACAACTTTGTGTGAGTTACTAAGGATCATTATTGTAGGAACTATTTAAGCGTATCTCGTTGGCGTTACAGGCGCTATGCCAAGATGTGGTACAAGGGTGTGAGCTTCACTAGTGAGTCTTGCGCTTTAATTTATCTGGTTGACACCGCTGGAACACGCACCACAACCGACACATTCACTGACCTAACCAAGGATTACACTCTGGCAGTGTTTTACGAGTAAGTATCGAATCGGATCAGATTCTGGGTATATTTCATTCCTAAACACCCGCAACACTTTCAACAGCGACTCACGCCACGGTCCCTCTTTTGTGCCGGATGCACAGGAGGTAATTGCAAAGTCATCCTACAGTTGCGCAGACGACGGTACCGAGATGTACGACATCAATGGATTTCGCATTATTCAGGCCGCCGATGGCCTGGTGAAGGTGACTCGCCAACACAACAAGGGGCTCATTCGCACCAGCCCTGGCAATGGATCGGTCACTCTAACCACTCTGGGCATCCACTGCACCGCCTCCTTGGGCAAGACCTCGCATCTGTTTTTACGGTAGGTATCCACTCTTAGCCACATTCCCTGTAATTATCATTTTGTTTCTCTTGCCTTGCAGTCGCAATGAAAAGCGCATGCACTTCGATGGATCCAATTTTATAGTGCGCAATGCAGGACACTCGGCGGGATTCAACGAGAACAACCTGCTGATTGTGTACTAAGTTAGTTATATCCGAAACACAAACGTAGATCCACAAGACACACACACAAACACAAACAGACACCTTAAACAGTTTTGGGGACTGTTGCGCTGCTGTAGCGTGGAGAGAGTAATAACCAAAAATAATATAACCCACAGAAATAGCTTGAAACTGAAAGCAGGCTCGCAAAAAAAGCGCGAGCAACGCTAAGGCCATTCTGATCAGACGTAAAACATAAAAGACCTAAGACCCAAACTTTGTAGCTGGGTGGCTTTTGGATGCCTTTCGTTACTCGACGTAAGCGCAACGCAATTAACAAGGAATTCGTTTTTAGTTATCTTTTCATACTCGAACTTTTTGATATCAGTGAATATTCAGTAAAAAAAATAACCTTAGGACACGGAACCACTGCCCTGCCTACTACTTGAAAACGCTGACCATTTTGGCAGATTGAGAAGTGTCAGCGTTTTAGTTTTTAAGGCTAATTTTGGCTTAAAAAAGACTCTCTTCAATCAAATTCTTACAAAATATTTTGCTAATAATATGATAAATTAAAAAAAAAAACAACAAACGTACATAAGGAAAGCCTTAAAAAATTTTCCACATGCTCACAAAATTTAAAACGACAAAGCGATGCAGATTTGTTCGCAGCATGACGCCAATGTGTGTGCAACAATTAGTAGGCAGTGGTCTGAAGAGGTGGCTGTCCTTCCAAGCTGGTTTGGTCTGATCTGGGTCCAGAGACGGCGCCAGTGCGGATTCTAGTTACTCGTTACAGTTAAGATTAGTTTGTAGTTGCTGCAATCCAAACATGTTCATCCACACAGACACAACAAAGTGAAATATTGTTACATTCTGAATTGCAAATTCAAAGTGAGCATTTTACACAATGGACACAAATGACGCTCCAAAAAAGTTAGATATTCGCAGAGTATTATCAGGAGTACTCTTATCACACACAACCGATAAAACGTGAAATAATAATTTAACACAATAATTGGTGAAGGTCCCCAATCGTCTTACATGCAGACATTACACAGTTGATATTAATTTAAAAGGCTTTAATTTTTGGGATTCTTTTGTTCAAGCTATCCCCAAAGCTTGAGTCTTACGACAATCTCCGACACTCAAAATCACAAGCATGTATAACGAAATTAATCTATGTATCTAAATCGAATAAAAAAAAATGTATTTTTACCAAAGATGATCCGAGGAATTTCTGTTCGCATAAGGACATATTTGAGCTAGACGACGCAGCATTGGTCAAGGTTAAAGCTTTCATGTTAAACGAATTCATAAGATGAAAGCCATAACTTGCAAAGGTGTCCAGTGAGCCAACCCGCCGTCAGAGCGTCAAGTGGGAGGCTCGTAAATTTTCAACGAAATTGCTTTATGGCTTAAACACACCTGCGTTCTTGCCAGCAACCACGCCCTTAGGAACAAAATCTCGCAGCGCACATCATGACACTTAACCCACCGCAAGCGAGAGCTAAGAAATTTTATTCATGTTCATAGTGGGTGCAATTGCATGGGTAATTACAGGTGCTTCTGCAAAAAGCCCTAACAAGGCTAATTTAAAGATACTTGGAAGTCCGTATTCCTTATCTGTTTTCATGTATATATTGTGGTTACCTGTAGACATATCCAGAAGCATAAAGATATCGGATCGGCTGTCATATAGACTAATGCTTCCAAAATGCTTGGGGTTGAGGCCGAGTCGGGCTGCTGCTGCTGCTGCTGCTGTTGCTGTTGATAAAGATTATTGGATAACGCTTAGCCAGCAATTTTCGTTTCTGTCATAAGAAGAGAGTTTGAACCATGGTTAAAGAGATAGTACAGGCCAACAACAACAAGAAGCCGCTACCGTCGATTAGACGAGCAGAATTGTGTAGAATAGAGATATATGCGCAGAGGATACATAAAGCAGAAGCAGATGTTACAGGTGCAAATAGAGAGATACAGAGAGAGAGAGAGAGAGAGAGAGAGAGAGCAGCAACAACATCTACTTATAATCAAAAGTTTATTTAAGTGTGACTTGTTTGTGAAAGCTCTGATGACAATGTTCATGTGTGTGTGTGTGCGCGTGTGTGTGAGTGAGTGCTTTCTTAATAGACCGTCATGGGTAGTGAACCGAACTGCAGCTATGTATGGATGGCTTCCTGTGACATGGCATCCGAATCGTTTGCCTCGTCTCGTTAGGGTCCATAACTGTGGCATATTCAATGCTCACGGTTGCGTGCCTCTCGGCATACGCTGCGCATAGGATGCGAGGGGCGGAGTGCGCTCGTGCCCAACATCAAACGCTTTTCACACTTAATTGGGCATAAAATTAAATCAGAATTGATTAAAACACTTCAATGACAACGAAAAGCAACATCAGCAACAGAAACAGCCGCTCCAACTCTGAAACGGCAACGGCAACAGCAACAGCTTTGACATATCCCTGCCTCCTATTTTCTTATTCGCTCCAAGTACATAGAAAGTTTTCTGGTTTTGGGTTTCCCAGCTGACGCATCGCTATCGACCCGAGTCTATACTAACTTTAGCCTACTACCAGCCCGAAGCCTTTCGGCCCCGTCGACTAGGCGACCTGCAGTGGGTATTAATTGCTGCCCCCCGTGGCCTGGCCAAAGTTTAGAAAATTCAATTTCCGTTTTCAAGCACTCGGCACAAACAAATTACGCGACTGGGCCTGAAAACAACTTTATATATTACCATTTAATGTGCCGTCAATTAACTCGGCCCTGCTATGATTATCATCAGCGGACTCGAGACATGTTTTATTCCATTATAATTTATGCCAATAAATCTCAAAGCATGCCAATTTGCATGCGCAAGCAAGATGGGATGAGCTGGCGAAACTGGCTGAGAAATCAATTTAATGCCAGGCCATGAGGAACAGAGCAGCGGACTGAATATATTATGTAAAGCAAGCAAAGTCTTAATTGTGATGGCAAATATTGGTTAGTTTGTGTCGTTGTCTCAGCTGGTTATAAGTTTTCACCTTTCCAGACAAATCCTGGCTGAGTTCAGGTGGGGCTAGGGAGCTATCGTCAGCCTGTGCTGCAGCCGTCAATCAAATAAATCAAAGGAACTGCCAATTGGCAGTGACGCAGCCATTTGAAGCTGTTCCCGACGCACCGGAACAGGATCAAAGTTAACTGTCAACGCTTTGTGCGCGCAGTTCGTATTTACCCTTCGCAAAGGAGACAATTTAAGTTTTTTTCTCAGACAGGCACTGTATTACAGGTGCTAAATTCTTGATGTTATTTGATCAGTTTCCCTTTTGCCACAGCCGCTTTGATTAAGTGCGGGACGCGTCTAATGGTTATGGATGGCATATGAGCAGCAGAGGCATCCAGCTGACTGTGCGCCGCAAGCAAAGGTTATTGAAGTAAGCGCCGTAGCACTTATTGGCGCTTATTTAGGGCAGGTGTCAAAGGTGATTGTCGCTGTCTGTCGATTTATAAAATATGCATAATAAATTTGCCTGACAAGCGAATGGCGCTGGGGACAGATTTATGGCGCGGCGCTAAGCAATTGATGGTTTGCTGGCAGCTATTGAGGTGTTGTCGCATTGATTGTCGTTGCAATTAGCTTAATTAAAATTCAGGCTCATCAATTAAATCAATTTACCTCAGTTGCTAATCAGATTTTTCCATGCGGTGCCACAGAAATACGAAAAGAAAGAACGAACTCCAACCTTGAGCAGGCGCCTTCGCACAAGTAATTACAATCAGGTTGGGGCTTGCGCCGCCTCCAACAAGCGAATAGACCAAAATGCCAAATTCCAAACTCATTTGCCGCAAAAGGCTGTCTGTCATCTAAGCCAATTGCAGGGCGCACGTGACAGGAACCACAAGAGATTCGACTACAAATATTCATGCTTTACAGTTTTAGTCGGAATTCCATTCGGATAAATGAATATAAATACAAGTGCTGCGCATATACCAAATAAATAATTTGTCGGGCTTAATCTAATCAAGGCCTTAAGTCAATTTCAAGATGAAGGTGAGCATTTCCAATTTCGATTTTACTATGCGCTAAACTTGCTATAAAAAGAGGCGAAGCGAGGTCTAAGGACAGCTTAATATATAAATATTTCTAAAGATTACATTATAAGAAATTAGCGAATATACTGTCTCTCAGATACAATATCTTTTGGATTGGCATTACCTTGTAGTTACTTGAGTTTATTCAGCTGCTGTTTTTAGACCTTGCCAAATAAGCAATTTGCTTAAGCATTGAACTCGATTATCTCCGTTTGAAAGGCCAAAAGTTAGCTCATCAATTATTTATGTTCTTGATTAATGCGTTTACCCTTTTAGGTAACACTTAAGGGGCGTGTGCCACAGCAGCTTGAAGTATTTGAGCAGTCATTCAGTTATTTCCCCTTGTTTTTGCAATTGTCAATAAAATGTGTTTATCAACATGGGCCGCTCCAACAAGTCGACTTTAATTGGAGTATGAATGAAATGTTTGCATGAGCTGAACTTAAATGACAGCAGCTGGTGCAAAATGTGCCGCAGAAAGAACTTTAAACTGACATTTTTTGAGCACAGACTGCAAACTGTAGTAAAATGTTGCTCAAGCTAAACACGAGCTGAACTTTTAGTGCCACGACACAAACGGAAAAGAAAACATGAAGTCATTTTGATTTTTGCATACTTTGTGCGCTGCTCGGGACGTGACTTGAAACAGAGAATATATTGACAGTATATATACATTAACATACATACACACACGTACATATATACATATATTTAAATACACTCTGTATATGAGAATGTTTCAAACATGTATCGCATTTTTTCATTTCCTGTTCCTGCTGTGCCGGAATATTGTGTTTGCCCTGGGGCCAGGTGAAAAACTTTAATGGGAGCAACTTAACATATGCTCGCCAACTTGTGCTCATCTCTCAGTGACTCTCAGCCATTGTTAGTTGTGCGCAATAACCTCTATAATTGAGTCGCAAAAACCAAAACTGTCGCTGCAAAGTGCCCCCGCCCAGGCTGGCGCTTTCAAGTGGTTTGTCCTATTAGAATGCATGAGTTTTTGATGGCGTGGCAAGCAATTCTCATTACTTCTCATTAAAATTCATTAACATGTTATGTCTGACGTTTAATATTCACCTGTTCACCTGTTCGCCTGTTCACCTGCTCACCGTTTGCTCGACAGCTCAGCTGGAGTGCCTGCCCCAGTGCCCCCAGTGCCTCTTCACCTTATTATTTGGCTCGACGATTCAATTAAGTCTAATGGTAAAATGTTGTTAAGCAATTAAATTGCTTTTGTTTTTACCGTTGTTTCGCTCTTGATATAAAAACGCAGTATCCCCATCTTTCCCACTTAATAAAAGGCCGACTGGAATCAAATTACAGCAGGTATTAAAATCAGTAAAAACTTTTGCGCTACGAAGCGGCTGAACTAGTTTATCCCGAAATTAACTTTTATGTATTCCAATTACAACTTTTCATTTCAGATTATTTACATTTTTTTTATTTTCGAAATTTCTGCTTAACTTCAACCTGAAGCAAAGCAGCAATTGTTAATAGTCATTTATATGAATATATTAAATATAAATATAATAATTATTTATATATATATTACAGCTTCTGTTACTTGTAATATTAGCTTTTCTAACTTTCTCTACATATTTTTTTGGATTGACGCCTATCTGAAGCATCGATCTAGATATGAGCTCTAAATCTTAGCAGCTCGCAGGATAAGCTCCAATTAGTCGTGGCCAATCAGAAAAATATGTCCCCTAACATTCACAATCTTTGACTATTGTCACAAAGATCTTTCTCCACGGATCAACCTCTAAGTTATAGACCTCTTTAAAATACAAAGCCCCTTTAAATATCGTTTCAAGCGGCGCTTGACTTCTTCGCCTTGGCAGCACTTTAAAAAATCGATTCTTAAATGACTTAAACTACTTTTAAGTCTAGAAGGAGCATTAATATTAATCAATATATTAACAAATGTTATAATATTAACAGTCTTGTGCTTTCTGTGCTGCTTT